CCTGGAGGAACACTCTCCTTCACTGCAAAGAGCATCTTGTAGCCTGGTAAATTCCCTGTGCTCTAATTGGCTAGTGATGTTGAACGTGTATATTATGCTCTTTTATTTATTGTCTTTATTAAAGTCTTTGTTTACAGATTTAGTATTAGAAAGCTGTATATGACCTCTATGTACATAATGCATTTTGGGTTTTTAATGTATACTTAGTCTTGAACTTGAACTGACTGAATTTCTGGCTTTCTCATCTACACCTGGGGAAGAGGCTGTGACTGGCTCCTCCTTCATCAGGGATCCAGCATCGGGTGCTGCTGCAGCTTCAGGCATGAGGTACCACAGTCAGGATGGATTAGGAGACCTCACACTGCCAGGCATCCGGTAGCATTAAAGATGCTGAGGTGACATTCAGGGTCAGGTAAAGCCGCTGCTTTCTGCCTTCGAAGTTTACTGGTAATGGAGACACACTTTTGTGTATAGATGTGTGTGTGTGTGTCCTGCCTGCTAAGCTAAGGAATGCTTCACTGTTGCTAGTATTTCCCTGATGAATTGGGGTCACTTGTTTAAGTGAACAGGAAGTTGAAGGGCCCTAGTGTATGTTTCTCAATCTGGGAATTCTTGGCTTACAGATTGTATCCTGTCTTCTTTTCTGGTTAGAAAAAGGTCTTTCATAAAGGACAAAGACGAGCGTTAAGTCCGTTAAAGATACAGATTTACAGTATAACAGCTGCTGATCTAGATCATTCTTTGAAAAGTTTGAGCACTTTGTAGTTTTTTACATTAAACAATTTAAAGACTGCCTGTGTCTGGTTCGGACAAAAGGGTTCCTCCTTGCTAATCTCACCACGGACTGGGGTTAGACTTCACTGCACAAGGAAAACCTTCCTTCTGAAAGTAAACATAGCACCAGGTGGTGGTGTAGCTTTGAACCCAAATGAAAAGGTTATGAATGGGACATAGGCGTGGACTTCACTAAATCTAAATCAAATAGGTTGTTCCTGTAGTGCTTAGAATGCCTCCCCAGTCTGCCGGCATTGATGGCAGAGATAATGACAGCGCCTTCTCTGACCCGGCTTTCAGTCGAGCCTTGTGGACTCTCAGGCTCATCTAACGAGAATGGAAAAATATGATGCCGGTTATAAAGTGGGTAAAGATAAGTGTTTCCTGACATCTGTTTTGGGTTTGGGAGTCAAGTTCATTCCGTCATCATCTGGGGAGGACAGAGGCCTCATCTGCTGTTCTGTCTAAAGATCCAGGTTCACAGATCTGTGTCTGAGGGCCTCCTGTGTTCTCTGTATTCTAAGGCAGTCACTCTCTGGGACCTGGGAATTCTTTTATTTTCCTTCCCATGTTTATGTGTTACACAGACCTGTGTAACGTTTTACCCAGCCATCTTTTCTCCTGTGGCCCACAGACCTGCTCCTAAGGGACAGTTTGGTCAGCCTCGGCAGTTAGTGTTGCCCTCAGTGTCTGGGGGCCGCAGGAGACAGGAATCGCTTCTTCAGCCGCGCTCCCGCCCCACCCCAAAGTCTACACTGAGTGACTGCCCTCTCTGGACACCGACCTGGTTTCCTGGCAACAGCACCTCCTACTTCAGATTTCTCTTTTGCTGACCCGCGATAATGGAATGCTTTGTGACCACATGCAGGTCCTGCTCCTCCCTAGGGCACCTCATCCTTTGTAAGTCAGTGCATTGCTTTTCTGCTCTGTATACCAATCTTCCGTAAGCTCAGTTATGATATAGTAGCTTCCAGAATTTGGCCTCTAGATCTTGCGTGTTGGCGAAACAAGCAGGGAGTTCATTCTTCACCTCCCCGCTGAGACCAGTCTGCTTGCTCCAAGGGTGTCTCCTCCACCTCCTCTTCTGACTTACACAAGCTTTACTTACAGGCCATGGAACTCCATGATCAGGGTCGCTTTGGTTTTTAAAAGAGTTTTTAAGAGAAGCTTGATTCTTTCTTAGCTTTGTGAAAGGGTTTTGTTGTCCTGGAGTAGTGCGGTTTGCTCTTGCCTGTTTTTTGCTTCTGGGAAGGGCTGCAGCACTTTGGGGTGTTGTCTTCTCAGCTGGAGATTTCCCTGTGCATGGTCACTTGTTGCCACAGGAAAGACACGCAGAAAGCATCCTGACGTCCTTAGGAATTGCATTTGGGTGGAGCCTTTGAGATCCCTTGCCCCCAGATAGTGTTCATTGAGAAAAGTAGCTGGCCCTTGCTTCCTTAAGCTCTGAAGGCCTGTGAGCCTGGGTTTTATGTGCTCCGAGGATGCTCTCCAGGGCACTGCCTGTGCCCTTGAGGGTGCACACATGCTGACATAGGAAAGCTGGCAAGTTTTGCCCCAAGCATCTTTCTTAACTGTAATCTAGGTTTCTTAAATTTACTGGAAAGCTTTGATTCTTTGGTCTACCCCACCACCACCCAAACACACTCTCCAGTCCTGACAGCAGACGTGATTTGGGAGATGCTGGCTGTGTGACACGGTTGTTTCTCTTTCCCTGCTTTTCCTTTCCCACATCCGATCTCGAAGCAGAACCTGACCCTGGGTTTCTGAGGTTTTAAAATACGCTTTTGCTTAGGGTTCAGTTAAAGCGAAATCCTTACAGACCTTGCGACTGTGGCAGTTCTTGGGACACTTTCTATTGTTCTTGATATTTGAGGAAATACTGTTACATAGTGTGCTGCGGGAGTACCTTCCGCTGCTTCAGCCAATAGTCGCTGAAGCACGAGCCCACAGTGCTGCAGGAGCGCCTTCCGCTCCATCAGCCAATAGCCGCTGAAATACCAGCCTACTGGGGCATGGTATATTTCTAATTAAAAGAAGAGCGGCAAGCCTCTACTCGGCCTTTTGGTTCCGGCGCTTGGTTCCGGCTCCTGCTTCTGGCTCCTGCTCCAGTGACTAGGCTCCCTTCCTGACTGTTTATGGTGTATGTAAGTTTTACCCCCCAAATAAATACCCCTTTAAAACATAACTGGTGTGGAATTGATTCGCCATTAATCGTGCAGCAGTTTATTTCTGAATAAGCTACGTGCCATGCTCACAGAGGCACCTTGGGGTGAGACACTCCTATTTCCATGGGTTTGCTGGGCATCAGCCTCACATGGCCTTAGGCCTGTGAAGTCAGCAGAGCCCAGGTTGCAATGCCCTCTTGGGAACAGTGATTGGGGTCAGACCTTACGATCCGGGCGGATCAGAACTGTGTTTCTGACCCTTCGTGTCAGAGAACCTTGCTTTCTTCTAGCTCTTTCATTCCTTCTGCCTCTCTTATTTATGAAGTGACTCCCATTATTCATGACTGTCTGCTCTGTGTCAGATATGACGCGGTGGTGAATCGGGGAGACAGTGCCCGGAGAAGTTCTAGTTTAGAGCAATGGGCAAGTGATTGGCAGCAACACACACTGGCGCCTGAGCTGTAGATTTAGAGACCACCCACCAAAGAATGAGCAGTGCCTTCTCATAGAGAAGGTTAAGTTAGAGACACAGTGGAGCCACGGAGTCAGCAGGTTCCCCACATCTGAGTGGGGAACGGAGGTCCTGTGAGGGACTGCAGGCTTGAGGGAGCAAGTTGGAATTAAGTCCCAACTCCACACCCCATTGCTGTGTGAGTTTCTCAAGCCCTAGTTCCCTGTCCTAGGGATGCAGTGAGGGCTGCTGTCCTAAGTCCTAAGACACCCTCCCTGATGTTTGTAGGCTTGTTTGGCATGGTGTGTGCAGAAGAAGCCTTGAAAATTTTAAGCAAGTGCTGGGGTCTGCGTCTTGTTATGGAGCTAACCCATCTGCGGAGCCGCTCTCTAGGGGAGTGTGAGGCTCACATAGCACTACACACTGTGTGGTACACGGTCTGCTGAAGTCCACGAGCAACAAGGGAGATGAGAGTTCACCATGTTTAAATTGCACACTTCCAATCTGTGTCTGATGAACAGGAATTCTTTGTTTCTTCCTATCCTTGGCTTCCAGCTCTGCCCAGGTCTGCAGGCAGAAGCCTGTGTCTTCATGTCTTCCAGTGGTGGGTGGTGCAAGGTTTGTGGGGAGTTCTGGTCGACTCAGTAGAACTTGCAGTGCTCAGTTGGCAAACCATCTCTTGTGCAGAATGATCTGTTAGGACCCTCTTCTAGGTACCAAAACTCTTTTATATATGAGCTGCTCTTGTCTTTTTGGCTTATCAAGCCTGTGGTAAGCAAATGCTGCAGAAGTGCCGTCACAGTGGCCTGCAGAGTGGTTTTTCTGTGAGAGGGCTGTTTTACCGAGTTCCTTGCCTTCCGAAGAGTTGGAATGACCTTCATCTCAGTGGTTTGTCACTGTTTGTCACAGTTGGCATTCGGGTTTCTCTGAGCAGACATATACCACTCACAACTAATTCATTTATTTTTATATTTACTGCCTGGTTTTCAAAGGCATTTGAGCATCATTTGAAAATGAAATATACCTCATAGTCTGGAAAAAATGCTATGTAGTGCCATACCAGAAACAGAATTTGGAATGAAAAGAGCGTTCGTGACCCCGTCCCGAAAACATGCGCCTGCGTAGAGTGTCGGTGCCCACTTGTGTGTTTGGTAGGACACCGCTAAAACCACATCTTATCTTAAGAGACGTGTTCTTTGGGAATGGAACTGTTGGCAAAGTCTTACAAAGTTTGACAAGTGGTCAATAAATCAGCAAAGTGGACTCAGCAATGCGGCCTTTCGTGAGCCAGTACTCCTGTTACTGTGTACACTGCTGCCTGTGCGTCTTTCTGTAATTAGCTCTGGTTTTTCCAGGACAGAATTAATTTCTCTGGCTTTAGGACCCATGCATCTTTGGGGGTGGTTAGTGCTGGTGTTACAAGTACGGTGTTAAATACCTGGCTGGAACCTATTTATTATTAGCTTTGTATTATTTTTATTAAGAAATCTGGGTTGTTAGCTAATTATTCTTAGTAGAAATTAAACATTTTTAGTGTTTGCTAAAAAAGAAACGGGAAGTTTGTTTTTTAAAAAACTGCTGAAGAACTTGCTTTTACTATGTCATTTCAGTTCCGGTTACTATGGCAATGACAGCAGGGGCAGCAACCACCTTTCCTATGAGCAACCATACCAGGGAGAGAGTGACTGTGGCCAAGCTCACACTGGAGAATTTTTACAGCAACCTGATTCTGCAGCATGAAGAGAGAGAAACAAGGTACAGTGAAGGCTGTGCGTGTGCTTCGTTTTTCTGTGGCTGGATGGCAGCCCTGGCTTCTGTTACGTGTTCTGCACTGACAGCACACCTGGGTACTGGGTTCGTTTCCTGGGTTCCCCGAGTCTTGTGCACATACGCTGGTGTCCCACGTCACTTGTTTAACACAGATCTTTGCAGCCGTGGCGTTGTGGTGTGCCTTTGTGCGTTTCAAGAGAGATGGCTTTAGAAACCACAGAGTAGTGTATGACATGCAGTGGCGCTGCATTAGTGGGCACAGAAAATTAAGGACAGCGTGTCATTCTGCCTCAGTGAAACCGGAGTGTCGTAAGAGATCTGCTGTATGTGAGATGCTCCGTGAGGGTGGGGAGTGACGGTAGGGGACTAAGGGAGCACTTCCCAAATGATAGTGACATTTGACCAGGAAGAGCATGATTCACACATGATAAGAGGAAGTGGAGGAGGTGGAGCAGCACACACCAGGTCTCAGCATCCTGGGCTGGGCTCTACCGCAGGGCAGTGTCCTGGAAGGGGCCCATCGGCTCCTGCTCATTCTGCGGGGGAAAAAACTGGAACTCAACCACCGAGCAGCCCTGACAGACCTTTCATGATAGCAGACACAGAGGCCAGCATGAGATCTCTGAGTCTGGGCCTGGGGAACAGCCCACAAGTGGAATTCAGCAGCAGGCACACCTGAGATATGAACTGAGAAGTAGTCCCTGGTTTCCTTACCGTCACCGGCTGCTGAGTCTCAGCACTGATTTAAGAAGGAGCTTATCTTCCGGTGTTTTCTTAGGAGTAGCAGATATAAAGACTGTGGTAATTGATCCTCAGTCCTTGACCCCATTTGGTTTTCTGTGGTATAATCCAAAGCAAAAGCTTTGGTCAGTATTAAAATGCTAAATCTATCTCAGAAAAGAATCCCGATCGTAGTGAATAGTTGAATCTTGGTCCAATGTGAAAGATTTTCTTAGCACACACCCAGTGATTGGCTTGGATAAATAACTGTAGTTCTCAAATGGAAATAAGAATATTTTAGAAAGTCTAATTATTTTTTCCTTTGGAAAAGGCAGAAGAAATTAGAAGTGGCCATGGAAGAAGAAGGATTGGCAGATGAGGAGGTAACGTAACCGTCCGTACTAACTGGTGTTGGCTGATTGTGACTTGGCTGTGCTAGCTTTCTCCATCTGAATATGACTTCTTACTGTGTTGTTTTTGTGGGTACCTTAGGAGGAGATGGCCTTTGTCCCCAAAAGCATCACATTTGCTGAATACCATCCACAGCATTCTGGGTGTGTGGGACAGGGTTAGGTGCACGGACACCATGGGGCGGGGGCAGGCTCTGAACCTCTCTGTTGATTCCGTCTTCTTACATTTTTTTTTTATTTTTTTTAATGGTTTACTCCCTAATTTAGGCTCTCTTGCATCTCACTGAGTCTCTAGTTCCCAGTTTTTCTGCATTCTGCAAACAAGTCTGGCTAAGTGTCCTTCCTGTCTGTGATGGCTTCAGTCAGATGTCATGACCCCTACATCCAGCAATGACTGATCCCGAATTGCTGTGACTTCCCCCTGCTCATCTGTGGTCCTTTTTCATGCGCTATTTCTGCTTCCTGAAGCTCGCTCTCCTCCCCGGCATCTCACTTCACTGGGAAATCCTCCCTGATCGCTCACCTACCTGCCCTACATTCTACACTGACACTCTTCTTGTCCTTGTGGTAGTCTGAGGGCAGCGTCTTCCCAGAGGCAGAGACTGCATCCTGCCTCACTCAGAATCGCATCCCAGAGCACACAGAGGGCCGGAGCGAATACTTCGGTAGTGGTGGGCAGTGGGCTTCTCTGCCTTCAAGGAATGAATTGGAAGGAGAGATTACTGTATGCTTTGGAGGGAAGGGGGGCTCACACATGCATGAAAACCTGTATACATTAAAGGGGCTACTAGTATAGTTCAGGGCAGAGTGCTTGCAAAGCCCCGGTTTGAGTCCCAGCAGTTCCCTTCCAACAAGTGAAAAATACATATGCATTATAGAATGTAGCTAACTTTGAAAATACACAGACACCCGCCCCCCCCCCCCAGGGGCTCAGAAAAGGTTTTGTGGAGAACATAGCAAGTGATTTGAATCTGAACTGATGAGCAGAGTTTATTTCACAGACTGGCACTGTGTGCGGACCAGCGACTGTGCATGCAGAATAGCGAGTCTGTGTTGAAGAGGGCAGTCGGAAGGGAAGGGAAGTTGAGGGCATGCAAAACTAGCTTTAGGGCAGTTCCTGAAAAAAGGCTTTGTTCTCCGGATGAGAATGAGTCCCAGCCTAGGCTGACCCACCCTCAGCGGTCAGCAGGGGCCTGACCACCAGGTGAGGCTTGGAGCCCAGTGAGCTACAACGCCCCACACCTTCCTTCCCTGTGCCTGTCCTGCTATCCAACATCCTACGGAGGCTAGGGAAGGTTAAAGTTACTTACATAAAATTAATAAGTATCTGGAAACCCTGTTTTATCTTGTTAAATTTTAGTGAGAGGAATAATTTAAGGGCTGCATCCTAGTCCATAGAGAAAGGCAAACACATCTCTCTTAGTTTGCCTCATTGATATTATAGCTTTCTTATAGCTTGTAATGATTGGGCTCACACAGAATTTTTTTCTTGTATCTTTCTTTCTTTCTTTCTTTTTTTAATTTTGGTGTTTCAAGACAGGGTTTCTCTGTGCAGTCCTGGTTGTTCTGGAACTTTCTCTGTAGACCAGGCTGGTCTTGAACTCAGAGATCTTCTGCCTCTGCCTCCCAAATGCTGGGATAAAAGGTGAGCACTACCACTGCCCAGCCAATCTTAAACACAGGATCTTAATTTAAAGTCTAGGGAAAGGTTGCCAGAATAGATGCCCCCGCCAAGCACAGTGGATGCTCCATACATAGAAAAGGAAAGGGGGGAGGTGGAGGAAGAAATAGGTTTTGTTTGTCTGCTTGTTTTTGGCTAATACATTTGTTCTTCCCACTCTTCAGAGCCCAGGATCTGCTGTGTTAGATGACAGGGCACAGAACAGTTGCCCTTCTGTTAGCCCAGCATGGCCAGGTTCCAGTTGTACAAGATCTGGAAGTCTGGGCTTTTGTCTAATCATTTTAAAGCTACTTTTAGAAGTATTGCCAAGTGATAAAAGAGTTTTAAAACCAACTTGGGAGTCCAGAACGGCCTGGGAAAGTCTGTTTGTAGCGGCCCTTGGCGCCCCCTGGTGGTGGCTAATGTTTTTCTTAGTTTTTGTAAATAACTTGTAGAAAATGTCAAACAAATCATTTTGCTTCTTAAAGTCATTGGCTAGTAATATATGTTTTTAACCATCCCACTTTTTCTGTGGAGATAGTTTAAAATTCCTGTGTGTTTATTTTAGGCTCTGGGCTTGGACGTTGATTATGTTGTGTATAAAAAAAAACAAATTCAATTTTAGTATTAGAATTTCTTGTTTTTCAAAAAGAATAAACTTAAAATTTTCTTATGCGTGTGTGTGTGGATGTGGGGTGCATGTGAGGCCAGAGGGCAGCATGGGGTGTCAGGCCTTGGCAGTGCTGTCTGCTTCCCTGTTGGCCAGTTGACCTCAGAGCTTCACCTGTCTCTGCCTCCCCAGTGCTGAGATAGGTGTGTTGCCACCACACCTGGCCTTTTTGCATAAACTTAGGGACTAAACTTGGGTCCTTGTATCTGCAAGATAAGCACTTTACCAACTGAGCTACCTTCAAGAGTGGCTTTTCAGTGAAAATTAATACCCTTAGTTCATTCTGTAAGAGAAAACAGTCTGTGCAGTGGTCCATGGTGAGCTGTGAGGTCCTTAAACTGTGTGGCTGTGCACAGCAGTGGCTGACATGATGTGCTTAGCTGAACCCTGTAGTATCTCAGAACTCCGAAATACCTTAACTGATTTATAGACTCTCATTTGGAAAGGAATGGAGTCTCTAGATTGCCAGCTACAAAATGAGATTGTCTCAAAACGGGGAGGATGTTTGTTAATTTACAAGAGTCATCAAAATGGATGTTTATTAATGGGAAAACAAAAATAAGTGATTTGAGCTGCAGGGGAGAGCCGTGAAGAGTCGTCTGTCACAGGCCTTACCTTAGGGGAAGGAAGGACTAGCACAGGGCTCTTGTTTCAATCCACATTCTGAGCAGATACAGTAAGTGCTGTTCATGACTTTAGAAATGGCGTTCTTCAGCTACCACTGGACTACAGTGCTGCCTGACGGGCTAAAGTCCCTGGGGCCAGGGTTCTACTGTGGTGCCCCTTTTGTTGAAGGGCTGTGTGCTGGCAGCCCGGAGAACCTGTCAGAAACTCAGTGCCTGTAGTTTTTGGTGCTGTTGTTACTGTTTTGGGTTTTAGCGGACTCTTGTCTGCAGATCCTCAGCACATGTGTATTTATTATGTGTAATTTGAAATTAAAACAAGCGCTTTTATTGTCGTGCGGTATACAGTGCTGTAGTGCCCCAAGTGGCCTTTGAAAGAAAACTCTAGTTCTGGACCTTAAATCAAGCTGAGTCTCAGAGCTGCCACCCCATGCACAGAGCAGTGGGTGCTGGGTTCCCGGGACACACAGGGCTGTGGAGGCCACCTTTGCTTTTGTAATGATGCAGATGTAGTTGGCTGTTTGTTATCCTTCACTCTGGTGGGGGGGGGGGCCCACCCGGGGCCCACTCAGCTCTTAAATAAATACTCAGAGACTTGTTCTGACTTATGAATGCCCGGCCTTAGCTTGGCTTGTTTCTAGCCAGCTTTTCTTAAATTATTCCGTCTACCTTTTGCCCCTGGGTTTTTGCCTTTGTTTATTCTCTATCTCTTTCTTTTCTTCTTATTTTGTGGCTGACTGTGTTGTTAGGTGGCTAGCCACTGGCATCCTTCTCTCCTCCTTTTTCCCCTCCTCCCTCTCTTGCTTCCCTCTTCCGTTTATTCCCTCCGCATGCCTGTCTCACCTATCCTTTCTCTCCTGCCTGGCTATTGACCACTAAGCTCTTTATTAGACCAATCAGGTGTTTCAGACAGGTTAAGGAACAGCTTCACAGAGTTAAACAAATGCAACGTGGAAGAATGCAGTTTAGCTCTGCATCATTCAGCAAACATCCCACAGCATAACAAATGCCACACACCTTCAGCTAAGATTCCACATTTCTCCCTTTTGTCTAAATAAAAATGAAAGGTTTAACTTTACATAGTAAAACCATATACAACATAAACATTGCCAAGTAAGAGTTACATTTACAGTGTTCAGTCTATTTGTATGTAGCAAATTCAGGGAAAATATTCCCTTATCTATCTTAGTAATTCCAAAGTTTTATACCTAATTTACTTTCTATAGTTTTCTAAGGAAAACTATAACTCTATTTAGTCTTTAATACCACCAAAGGCCCCAGAAGGATGTAATATATTACCTAACAGCAGAGACATCTGGCAGTCAGCTACAGTTCCTCTGCAATGTTGGGGCTCCAGCTTCAGCTTCAGACCTAGAATATCTAGCAGACTTTCCTGTGAGGCAGGAATTTCACAGAACTGTCCTGCCTTGTCTTGGCAAAGCTCAGCAGTCTTTTTCCTGTGTCCTTTCCACATTGAAAACAAACTCCATATGGGGTTTCTTTGATGTCCACCATTCTTTTATGAAGTAAATTGGTGCTGCCAGGAGCAGATGTGTCTCATTGAAACCATAGGTTATTAAACATCTTAAATGCCTTAGTCTGTAGGTCTTTGAAATATTTGCAAATCATCTGTTTAAAATATACCTATTTAGCTTTGAAAACATACCTAATATCATAAGGTTGATTGTTATAGATTAGCTATTAACCTCATTTCTTAGTTACACATTGCACTTTTAAATGAGCTACACAAGCATAGTGCCCTAAATAAGAGTAGAAACATTTTACAGTGTAATAAAAATAACTTGAAATTTGTATCAATATACCAAAATCCATGCCAGTGTAAAACATCTAGGATTAATAGTTGTCTTTTTATCTTATATTCCTATATTCCCCTAAATGATAGCAAACACCCATACCCCAACTCTTGGGAATGTGGGTGTCATCTTCTCTAGACTGCATCCTATTGTCTATGGGCGAAGGCATCCTTCAGGGTCCCTGAGAAAACTGAGATAATTCCCAGGCCAAGTCCTGGGAAGACCAACTGTAATCTTTGTTGATATATATAATCTATATATAAATATATAATATATATAGATAAATATATATCTATATATATAGATAGATAGATAGATAGATAGATAGATATATCACCTGCTAAGATTCAGGAGGTCTTCCCTGATCAAACCTGATCCATACCATATCAATCCTGAAGGAATCCACAGCCTCTCGTTTCCTGTGGACATACAAACAAACCTCCTTCTCCAAAGCAGTGCATTTTTTGAGTTTCATTTTAAAGTTAAGACATTCTTAGAATATCCAGGCTGGTTTATTTCAGGAGTCCTTACGTCCCACACTCCAGCAGCTGCCCTTTCCTCATCAGCAGTAAAAGATTCAAGGTCCGTCAGCAGCACACAGGACCCAGACTCCCTGTGAATTTCCCATCTCACATTGCTTTTTACTTTTATATTACTTCACTCTCTTTAATGACTTTATTATTTTTAACCATTTTTTCTATGATTGCCTATATCCTTTCTCTTACACCTAATACACATTGTTAAACACAGTGAAACCTATTGAGAGCTTTTGTCTTCTACTGGACCTCTTTTGCTGTGTATTGCTAGTCTTTTTTGACTAAATGGGCCTTTAAACTGCTAAGCAGCAACCTCCACCAGCTTCAGCGGCTGGCTCTGCCTGCTTCTCGGGTCCCCAGAGCTCTGGAATGCTGATGCTTGTGGCTTGGCACTTGTTTACTTAGCCTTTTCACCCCACTTTTATACTGGCTGTTCAAGGGCTTGCTATAAGGCAGGCTCTCTTAAAGGAGCCGTGTCCATTTTTTAAAGCTTCCTCAAACCCTGTGGTGATTCGAGCTTCATGTTGGTACACCAAAATGTACCAACATGTGTACCAAATGTGGTTATTTTTATTCTTTGCTCGTTAAGGGCCTACCACTCCGTTCCTAAATACCTACATGGAGACTTATTATTACTCATGAACACCTGGCCTTAGATAGCTTTTTGTAACTAAAATTACCCGTCTATCTTTTGCCTCTGAGCTCTTAAACTTTCTCTATTCTATATTCCTTTCTTTTCTTCTTACTCCATAACCGGTTATGTAGCTGGGTGATGCCACAGCATAAATGAATATAACACATCTTAAACTAATATTCCACAGCATGTAAACATAAATGTGATTTTAGCTGTCTATTTAAAGGATTAAAGTTTCCAAAACCCCAAGATAAGTCCAGCCTGTTTTTTTAAAGTAACATATATAAAGCAATCTTTGCTAAATCTTCATTTCCTTTATTGCCTGGTTCCTACCCAAAGATACACACACACACACACACACACACACACACACACACACACACACACACGAAACAGACACACCACAAATTAAACTGGAGACCAGAGAGATGACTCAGCGATTCAAAGCACTGGATGCTCTTGCAGGGGCCCCAGATTTAGTTCATAACACTTACAGGACAGCTCACAGCCAACTGTAACTTGAGTTCCAGGGGATCTGACACCCTTTCCTGACCTGTGGACACCAGGCATTCACATGGTACACAGACATGCATTCAGGCAAAATATCCTTATGCATAAAATAAAATAAATTTAAAATAAAAAAATCAGTGTAGCTTCATTGAACTGTGTGAACTATTGCTTTGCTCCTACCTCCGCTACAAGTGTCAGAGCTCCGCTTTGATGGTACACAGACTTAGTTAGACACCTAACTCTACAGCAGACAAGCAGGCTCAGGACAGGTGAGTGGCTGTGCTTGGAGCAGTGTGCCGAGCTGATGGAGTGTTAGACTCGTGTCCTGAGCTCAGCCTATGAAAGGTTGCTGGGGTCCCTCAGACCTGAGCAGGAGTGGATACCTGCAGTGGTTTTATTTCCCACCGTGTGCTGAACTGTCCCTGTGTCATGGACTTGACTTTTATTAGGTGAGGAGCCAATGAGGTTAGAACAAGAAAGTGAATGATTTCTAAATGCAGCATTTGGGTAGTTCAAAATGTTGCTTAGAAATAGTTCCTATTTTATTATCTTTGCCGAATCAGAGTGTTTCTGTGTTAATATTGACTTGGATGGGTTTATTTTTGATTGGTTTGGTTTTTTTTTTGTGTGGTGTGCACCTTTTTTTTTTAATTGATTTTTATTGAGCTCTACATTTTTCTCTGCTCCCCTCCCTGCCTCTCCGCTTCCCTTCAACCCTTCCTCTAGGTCCCCATGCTCCCAATTTACTCATGAGATCTTGTCTTTTTCTCCTTCTCATGTAGATTAGATCTATGTAAGTCTCTCTAGTATCCGCATTGTTGTCTAGGTTCTTTGGGATTGTGATTTGAGACAGGGTATCTGTATAGTCTTGGCTGACCTAGAACTCCCAGATACCCACCTGCCTCTGCTTCCTGAGTGCTGGGATGGAAGGTGTGCCCCCATTCCCAGCTAGCTTGGGTATTTTAATGATACTTTGTAACTTTTATTTTGTAATTTCATGTCCTTAGAAAGTTATATGAACCTTTATGCAGTTTGCTGAAATTTATGCAAGAATCAGTTTTACTCTAAGTAAATCTCCATGGAAACACTACTGTTGTGACTTTGCAGGTCACAGGGTTCAGCAGCTGTGACAGCACCTGGGAGAGTAAATTAATTGGAGCAGATTTGCTGACAAAGTAAAAATAAGTTGTCAGAGGAAGTAGGGCCTGGCTACAGATGCCTGCAATCCCAGCACTAAGGAGCTGGGGCAGGAGGACAGCCGTGAGTTTTAGTCAAGCCTAGGCTACTAAGTGATTCTGTCTCAAAAATGAGTAAATAACACATATCAGAATACTCATGGCGTTTGCATTATCTGATATCTACTTTTGTGAGTTAAGTTACCACTCACAAGGCAGCAATGTACACATATAATAAGGAGGTTAAGATGATGTAGTCTACTTACAAGTCTACTTGAAAAGCCTACTTGTAATGTCTGCTTTCAATGGTACAGACTTAAAAGTTGTTTTAAAAATGTTTTCTTATTACTGTTCTATTCTTCCCTTGCTTAATAAATACTTGACATTGGCAAATAGATTACAGACAAACATGTAATTAAGATACCATACCTCTCTCTCGTCATTTATTAAAAATGATATGTGCATGACAGCACAGGGCCTGAGGAGCTGAGTGTGGCTGCTGGGGGTGATCTGCAGCCTCTGCAAGAAAATCACAGCTTTAGCCACTGAGCTGTCTCTTCAGCTGCTCTGCCTTTGCTGGTTTCCAGGACGCTTTCTCTGTGTTTTCCTGGCTGTCCTGGATCTCACTCTGTAGACCAGGCTGGCCTTGAACTCACAGAGATCCCCCTGCCTCTGCCTCCCCAGTGCTGGGATTAAAGGCGTGAGCCACCACCGCCTGTCTTTGTTTTTATGTGTGTCATCTTTTGACATTATTCATGCCTTTGAAACAGCCTTTCTGTAATCTTTTTAAATTCTATTTTGGATAGAAAAAGTTACGCCGATCCCAACATGCTCGTAAAGAAACAGAGTTCTTACGCCTCAAGAGGACCAGACTTGGCCTGGATGACTTCGAGTCTCTGAAGGTGATCGGGAGAGGAGCTTTCGGAGAGGTGAGCTGCTTTGTTCGTCACCACTGTTGAGAGTGGCTGCTGTACCATGTTGAAATATAGTTCCTAGGCTCCAAGGTCATAGGTCAGCTGCTAAGAGTGCTGGCCTAGTATCCACAAAGCCCGGTTTTTGACTCAGCCCCGTAAAACCAGGTGTGACGGCACACCTCTGTATTCTCAGCACTTGGGAGATGGAGGTGAAGGATCAGAAGTTCAAGGTCATTCACAGCTACACAGTAGTAAGCTCAAGACCAGCCTGGGCTACACTAGACCCCTGCTCCCCGTGTGTGTGTGTGTGTGTGTGTGTGTGTGTGTGTGTGTGTGTGTGTGTGTGATTTCTTTGATGTTTTCCGTGGTAAATCCAAGGCTCAGTAAAGGAAGCTATTCTGTTGTCCAACACTTATGTCTGTGCTCTAGGTGCGGCTGGTCCAGAAGAAAGACACAGGGCACATCTACGCCATGAAGATCTTGAGGAAAGCCGACATGCTCGAGAAAGAGCAGGTATATCTCCCCGCTGTGCGGCGCCAGGGGCCTCTGTGAGAGTACTCAGAGCAGTGCTGGTGTTGGAAATTGTAGAAAGAAATCCAGCCTACTAGATAGTACTAAATTTATAGTCTGTTTTATTGTTTTCAATGCATAGATTCAAATTCCAGTTTCTCCAGCTTTATAAACTGTGTTAGTTTGCACAGTTGCTATTAGAAAACAACAGAACCAGGCAGCGTGGTGCACACCTTTAATCTCAGTACTCAGGAAGCAGAGACAGGTGGATGGATCTCTGTGAGTTCGAGGCCTGGTTTACAGAGCTAGTGCCAGGACAGGCTCCAAAGCTACAGAGAAACCCTGTCTCAAAAAACCAAAACAAGAAGAAAAAAAGAAAGGAAGAGAGGGAGGGAGGAAGGAAGAAAGAAAACAAGAAAACAACTCAGGCTGGGTCCACAGACAACAGAAGCCATTACTTCTGTTGTTGGTTCTATTCAAGGTCAGAAAGTTTTAGTTTTAGGTTTTAGTTTCTGGTGGTTGCTATCTCTGCCACCTTCCTTCGGATACCACACTCCCTCTCCTGGTGACTGCTGGGAGAGCAGACATGGGATCCCATGGGCACTCCTGCCTCCTGCCATCTCTTCCTGTAGGAACACTAGCCCATCCTAGCAAACAGGAATCCACTTATTAATCCACAGGGCTAGAGAATCTGTTCGCCCATGGGGCCTAAGGAGAGGGGCTAAAGGAAATGGCTTCCTCGGTTCTGCCTATTTAATGAGCACACGAGTGTCTGTGCTCCTGCGAGACTGGTAGGGCTGGGTCGTTGGGACGGGTTAGTTACCCTTTCAAAACATCCATCTAGGTGGCTCATATTCGAGCAGAAAGAGACATCTTGGTGGAAGCAGATGGTGCCTGGGTGGTGAAGATGTTCTACAGTTTTCAGGACAAGCGGAATCTCTATCTGATCATGGAATTTCTTCCTGGAGGTAAACGGCAGTGGCAGACAGGCCCCAGCTCATAGGCACAGGCAGTACATGTCAGCTAGTTTTGCTACCGAGTTTTGTTGAGTTTATACACAGCCACCATTTTCCAGCATTTACTTCCAGAATAATGGAAGGTGATTTGGCCACAAATCTTGTCATTTTGAAGGAGTTAGGATGACATGTTATATACTACTAGTCTGTGTTCATTGCAGCACACTGTAGAGTTAAGGAAAGAGCATGTATTCAGAAAGACAGGTTTCTGTGCCTAGGTGTGCCTGTTCACTCCATGCTCACCTCTGCTCTGCCCACGATCACGGCACATGCTCCCCACCGACACCGTTGCATGCACATTGCAGGGTGGTATGGGGCAAGTCAGAAACCTGCAAATCTGGCACAGTCTGTACATAAGAAGGAAGTCTGCAGAGGGTCCCCATAACTGGGTGTGTGCTATCACACGCCCATCACTCCAGCACTAGGATTCCAGACAGCTGCTGAGCAGAGCAGGAGGAGGGCGTGAGGACAGTGAGGGCCTGGGCTGGGTGCGGGGAGAGGAGCGGCATCACCCGTCTGCAGTCTCTGGGCCCCTGCCTTGTGCAGGTGACATGATGACCTTGCTGATGAAGAAGGACACCTTGACAGAAGAGGAGACGCAGTTCTACATCTCAGAGACCGTCTTGGCGATCGACGCCATCCACCAGCTGGGCTTCATCCACCGGGACATCAAGCCAGACAACCTTTTACTGGATGCCAAGGCATGTGCGGAGCAAGAGGATTCTTAGGCTTCTCATGCCGTGAAAGACTGCCAGCTTCCTGGCTGCAGGCAGCAGCCATGGTTTAGGTTGTTTGGGGTTAATTAAGTTTTTTGTAGAAGGCACAAAAGTTCTGGAATACGTCACGTAAAATGGTTTTTTGAAAAAAAAACTCCATTTTCCATTTTTTTTTAATTTTTATTTTATTTATTTGTTTATTTTGGTTTTTTGAGACAGAGTTTTTCTGTGTCACTTTGTTGACTGTCCTGGAACTAGCTCTTGTAGACCATGCTGGCCTTGAACTCACAGAGATTCTCTGGCCTCTGCCTCCCGAGTGCTGGGATTGAAGGCATGTGCCATTTTCCATTTTTAAAAATCATCAAACATGCATAACCTCATGCTTTCAGCTATCTGTGTTTTAAGTTAAGAATTCTTATAATGATTGCATCAAACGAGTTTATAATAAGGCTTTTTTGTTTTCACAGTTAATGTAATTTGACTTGACTGGAATTTGTCGTTTTAGGGACACGTAAAATTGTCTGACTTTGGTCTGTGCACGGGGCTAAAGAAAGCGCACAGGACTGAATTTTATAGGAACCTCTCACACAACCCACCAAGCGACTTCTGTGAGTTCGCCTGTTTCCTTTGTTTGGAAATTTGTAGTTTTGAGCCCTAGTTCTGTGAGGATGTAAGGCTCCCTCCTCCCCGGAGTTGCCCGTGGTTTAGATGATTTGGTTCTATATTTTACCAGTTTGCCCTCTGACCGCAGTTCTGTCTTGTTGAACTCAGCATTTCAGAACATGAACTCCAAGCGGAAAGCGGAGACGTGGAAGAAGAACAGGCGACAGCTGGTGAGTGGCCCGGCGGACTCGGAAGGCTACTCGGGTGTCTCCTTCCCAGGGGGAGCAGGATAGGACCCTTCTGGGTTCAGCTGTGCCTGGCCCGAGGACCTAGGGTCGCCAAAGGTCAGCTGGGACACACTTCATCCTCTCCTGCCAGTGAAGATGAAGGACCAGACACTTGTGGGAGTGAGCAGAGCGGCAGCGTGTTTGTTAAGGAGGATTTCAGAAGAGCGGGAAGCTTGGTAGAGTGGGGGCTGGGTGGCTCCTGAGAGGAGAAGCTGCTGAGATTCCTCTGTTAGGGCTGTGGCCGAAACTGGTTGCAGAGCTCAGCCAGTAGCTGATCGTGGATTCCTCACATGCCGCCCACACATTTAGCCGAGGCCAAAGCCCCGCTCTGTCTGTCTCCAGCCTTACTAGCTGCTGTCCATGATGGTCCCGTTGGGCACTTGACCAGCCTGCTGGCCTCCACTTTGCAGTATTACACTACGATGCTGCAGTTCTACTTGGTTAACTGTTTGTGTGGTGGTCTGGGGTCTCCCTCCTGAGACAGGTGGGGTTTCTCAAAGCTGCCTTTTCCTAATCTGTGAGCTAGAAGCAGGCAGATGTCAAAGGGCAGTGGAGCCCAGCGAACATGGCTGAAGGAGAGGGCCTCACAGAGCGTCAGCCGCCACACTGATGTCAAAGGGCAGGGGAGCCCAGTGTACATGGCTGAAGGAGAGGACCTCACCGAGCGGCACCCACCACACTGGCCTTTCTGGTCTCATGCCAGATCCCCTGGGCTTTCTCATAATCATAGCCTTGTCCCCTCACCGCCTACAGAGAACTGCAGAAGAGACATCACCTCTTCTCCTATAGGAGTGTTCTGTAACCTATAACCTGGGGCGGTGTAACTCCTGTTACAACAACCACCATTCTTTACAGTTAACCAGGGGAACAGGAAGCATGGGGTGTTGGCAGTGGTGCAGCATTTCAGTAGGCAATCCTAGCCCCAATGTTTAATTTCATGACCATCTCTCACCCTTTGTAGTGAATATAAGAATTGCTTCCGAGGCCTTTCCTCTTTTCATGTATGTGGTTCACTGAGGTGTGAGCATCTGCAGCTAGGGATTAACTGAGGTGTGGACGTCTGCAGCTAGGAATTAACTGAGGTGTGAATATCTGCAGCTGGGGATTAACTGAGGTGTGAGCGTCTACAGCTGGGAGTTAACTAAGGTATGAACTCTGCAGCTGGGAGTTAACTGAGGTCTGAACATCTGTAGCTGGGAGTTAACTGAGGTGTGAACATCTGCAGCTGGGAGTTAACTGGGGTATGAACTCTGCAGCTGGGAGTTAACTTAGGTGTGAACGTCTGCAGCTGGGAGTTAACTGAGGTATAAACGTCTGCAGCTGGGAGTTAACGGAGGTGTGAGTGTCTACAGCTGGGAATTGACTGAGGTGTGAACATCTGCAGCTGGGGATTAACTGAGGTGTGAACATCTACAGCTGGGAGTTAACTGAGGTATGAACTCTGCAGCTGGGAGTTAACTTAGGTGTGAACATCTGCAGCTGGGAGTTAACTGAGGTGTGAGCGTCTGCAGCTGGAAGTTAACTGAGGTGTGAGCGTCTACAGCTGGGAGTTAACTGAGGTATGAGCGTCTGCAGCTGGGGATTAACTGAGGTGTGAACATCTGCAGCTGGGGATTAACTGAGGTGTGAACGTCTACAGCTGGGGATTAACTGAGGTGTGAATGTCTGCAGCTAGGAAGGTAGCTTTGACTTTGTTTTCCTGGTCTCTTACAGAGTGCCCAGCACATGTAGCCATCTCATTGTTCAGTTCGAGGCAGCAATGACAAAGCTGCTGACTCTGTGTTCCATTGGGACGTGCTAGACTCAGGTGCTAGACTCAAAACAATTAAACGGCCTTTTACATTTTTGAGCTCATTTGCTCATTGGTCCAAGTAGCAGCAAACTTTGATATTCTAGTAAACTTTTCAGTGTGCACAGCCGTGCATTAAGGAGAAAAACCTCATTCTGTTTTTGAATGTGTCATTTTAGATCAGATGTTAAATCTGAGAAAATATTACAGTCTTCCTATTTTTAAAGGGGGAGAAGTGAATAGCGCTTAAAAACTTACCTGAGGGCAGGCGTTGGTGCTCCCCTGTAACCCCCTACTTAAGAGGCTGAGGCAGGGGCATCCTGAGTCCTGAGATCAGCCTGGGCTTCGTAGTGAGACCCCATCTTAAAAAATAAATAAAAACACGGCAGAGGATGCCTGTATTTCCTACTAGGAGTCATCCTCGTAGGCCAGGGGCTCCCAAGGGAGAAGTGAGAGTTCATCGGTGTCTGGGTCAGGGGATCCCTTCAGCCCAGCTGCCAGTTTCTTGTCCCCTGGTCCCTGAAGTGACGCCTGCTGTCACATTTTCAGTGGCTCTACGATAGTGCCCCTGTGGAGAGCTGCTGGCTTTAAGGCTCGCAGCTCCTGATGTCATGCGCTGGAGTTAAGCTCTAAGGAAGGGAGCTTACAGAGTGTGTCTTCGTGGTTTAGCCTCAGATCAGGCTGTTGTAGGTTCTTTTACCCGGAGCTTTCGTGAGCAGAAGCGGGGGTTTCAAGTGTAGCTCAGGAGTAGTGAGCAGGGAAGTCAGACCCAGTGGGCACAGCCTTTTCTTTCCTTTTGAAGTGGACAAAGGGCCTCTCCTTGGCCCAGAATCCTGTGTTCTGCATGCGGTGCCTGACTCAGCGCCTGTCAGCCAGCCTTACATGTGACACACAAAGGCACCAATAAGTGAGAACCTCCTCCTGTAGTGAGCCACACTCCTGAGAGGCTCAGAATGTCAGTTTGACAGGCTGCTCCTTTGTAGGCATATTCCACAGTCGGAACGCCAGACTACATTGCTCCGGAAGTCTTCATGCAGACTGGCTACAACAAACTGTGTGACTGGTGGTCCTTGGGAGTGATCATGTATGAAATGCTAATAGGTAAGTCCTGTTCATGTGTGTGATATGTATCTGTTTATGTGTGTGATACGTATCTGTTTTCGTACCATCGTTTGAACTTATTACAGCTATTAAAGACAAAAATAGCAGAGCCGTTTTGAATCTATTTCCCATATTATTCAGTGTTAAATACGTATTGATAAATACGCAGTAAACTGCCCAGGGACCCTATGGCAGGGAGAGAGTCATTTAGCTTGGCTTCCTTTATCAAAGGAAGGGTTTAAGATGAAGGGTTAAGATGAGACAAGGCAGACTTTGTTAGTAATGTCACAGTACACTGATGCACGCTGGTGTCACCTCAGAGTGCTCGCTTGGGCTGTTTGTTTCTCGTGGCTCTGTACCTGTAGGTCTGGTTGAACTCATCACCAAAGCTGATACATTTTGTTTCCCAGGCTTCCCACCTTTCTGCTCCGAGACACCTCAGGAGACATACAGAAAAGTTATGAGCTGGAAGGAGACACTGGTGTTTCCTCCAGAAGTGCCCGTCTCTGAGAAAGCCAAGGACTTGATTCTCAGGTTAGTGACTCTGAAACCTTCCTCGAGTCCAAATGATCCATTTCTCTGAGGCAGGGCTGGTGTTTGGGGGAGAATGCCGCTGATCTGGTCAGTTTAAATAAAGGATTTACATAATTCAAACTTTTAAAAAAGATTTTTTTTTAATCATACTTATGTGTAAGTGTGTGGGTACCACTTGCTCATGGAGGCTAGAAGATTCCTTGGAACTGGAGTTACAGGCGGTTGTGAGCCACTTAGTGTGGGTGCTAGGCATTGGACCCAGGTCCTCTGCAAGAGCAGCGAGTGCTCTTAACTACTTATTTCTCATTTTCTACAAAATGACATGAATGACAAGAGACTTCTTATTACTGAAATATTGGCCTATAGTTTTTATAACTTAAATTAACATACTAATTTATGTTCTGTCCTGTGGCATTACCTCTCTTGGACCTCCGGTTTCCTTTCCGTGTCTCCTGGCTTCTCCTGAATGCCTCGATTCTCCTCTTCCTTTCTCTCCCTGGAAGTCCTGCCTATACCTCCTGCCTAGCTATTGACCTTTCTGCTTTTTATTACCCCAATCACAGCAGTAGATATTCACAAATATCCCACAGCAGGATATGAATTGTGATAACTCTTGTGAGTGGCCAGCTGGCAGCATATTATTTAAAATTATCAAACTGTACATGACCTTTGACCAGCAGTTTTATTTCTAGGTATTTAATAGAGCATATAACCACGTAGGGGCAAAGAACTAGACATGTTTCTTGTGTTATTTTAGTTGTGAAAAGTTGGAACTCATGTAAGCCTTCAGCAACGGCGATGGATGTTACACTCCAATGTCTCCATACACAGGTCTCAAAAAATTACCTCACAGGAAAACACTCAACAACATTGAGAAACTTGATTAGTATACTAAGTGGAAAAAAGTCTTAAAATAAGCATTAATGTGTCAACACTGTTTTTAATATTATTATGAGAGATGAAAAGAAATGACTTCGGTATATTGATGGGGTATCTAAATGGTAGATATTTATGCTGATTTGTATTTCCCTGTTTCTTCCAGAGTAAACTCAGCAAGAAAACGCTTCCTAAAAACATTTGAAGTAATACATTTAGAGTGTTTTAAGTGAAAGATGTGACTGAGAATTGGTTTCCTTTTCCAGATTTTGTACTGATTCTGAAAACAGAATTGGGAATGGTGGTGTAGAAGAGATCAAAAGTCACCCCTTCTTTGAGGGTGTAGACTGGGGGCACATCAGGTACGTTCTGAGGCCTGGGCTGAGAAAAATGAGCTTCTTGATTGGTGGTTGGTGCGCCTCTGATTTGTCTAGACCAGAGGTTCTCAACCTGTGGGTCATGACCCTCTGGGGGGTTGGACGACCCTTTCACAGGGGTCGCCTGAGACCATCAAAACCACACGTTTGCACCATGATTCATAACAGCAGCAAAGACACAGTTAGGAAGTAGCCACGAAGATAGGGTTATGATTGGGGTCCCCACAGCATGAGAAGCTGTATGAAGGCTGCAGCGTCAGGAAGGCTGAGAACCGAGGAGAAGAAGCAATGCTGCCTCGTCTGAGAGCCGTCTGCTGTGCTGCTCTCGATGGATTCCGGAAACGGGCCCAGAGCAGCGTCTGTCCTGCCTCTCTCACTTGCCACTTAGGGACAGGAACGGTGGTCACAGAGGCCAAGGCTGGGGCTCTTTCCACTCAGTTGAGTCTTAATTAAGCTTCCATAATCTTCATGCCCGGGTCTAGAAATTGGGTAAGACCCAGTGGACAAGATGTTAAGAGTTCCCGGGGAAGATGAGAGAGGTGCAGTACGTACTCATGAAAGTACTGGGCACAAGACTAACTCTTGTACAGACATGGACGGTACTTGCTTTTTCATAATTTTGTAGGCTTAGCACCTAGTCGATTCTTTAAAAACTCGTTGAAAAATAAATAAAAACCAACAAGGGGCTGTTGAGGTGACTCAGCAGGGAAAGACTAAAGATCTGAGTTCAGTCCCCAGCCCTGTGTGGTAGGGGGAGAGCCAACGCCTGAACGATGTCCTCTGACCTCTGCACTTCTGCAGGGTGTGTGTGTGTGCATGTGTGCGCGCGTGCATGTGTGCGTGCTTACGCATGTGTGCATAAGTCAATAAATATAACTTAAAAATTTTAGTGATGTTTCTTTTCACTATTTCTATGGTTAAATGTTTTTACTATAAGACAGCATTCTTTTAACCTAACTTCTCTGATTGTCTTAAAATTCCTACAGTCGACAAGTTTTTGCATTCAGACCTTATCACAAATATATACGTGTCCCCTCTTTTGCAGATAGATATCTGTGTACACAGATCTTCTCTAGAATTGTAACCCTTGCTCACTTAGCTAGATCTCACTGTCTCCCACGTACTCGACACCACATAAAATCTTCTCAGTAAAAGGCCATCTCTTAACCAGGGTGGTAGTGCACACCTTTAATCCCAGCCCTTGGGAGGCAGAGGCAGGCAGATCTCTATGAGTTCAAGGATAGCCTGGCCAAAAAGTGAGTTCCAGGACGCCAAGGCTACACAGAGAAAAACTGTCTCAAAAGACAAACAAATAAGTAAACCAAAAATGCTTTCTCTCCTAATTTTCCTTTCATTGGGTCTTGTTTTTTCACCTTAAAAAGAAATTAGTGTGAAGTGTTGAGGAGACTGTGTGTCTGTGGGAGTCCTAGCTGTGTTCAGTCTCCGGGGCTGGAGGGAGAGCAGAGAGTGTCTTCATGCAGAGTGTGAAACTTCCAAGTAAATGCAAATGTTTTAGTAAAAAGTTACCCTCAGCTATCCTGATTCCCACGTAGCTGTGTTCAGCAGACACCCTTGGGTTTCCTGTCCCGTGCAGTGGTGGTCAGGGACACGGTTTGTTGGACAGTTAAGAGTTCAAGAAAATTCACCATGACTGATGAATTGTCTTTTTCAGGGAAAGGCCGGCAGCCATCCCTATAGAAATCAAGAGTATCGACGACACCTCCAACTTTGACGATTTCCCTGAGTCTGACATCTTACAGCCGGGTAAGACAGGTTGACGGCGTGACCCCACACTGCAGTCACCCGTGAGGTGACTGACATCACTACTGAAAGTCCCTCTGCCCTTAATTAACTCCTCTCTCTTTGCAGTGCCGAATACCACAGAGCCCGACTACAAATCCAAAGACTGGGTTTTTCTCAATTACACCTATAAAAGGTTTGAAGGGCTGACTCAGCGTGGCTCCATCCCCACGTACATGAAAGCTGGGAAATTATGAGTGATGAGCGCAGTCCCACAGCCAAGAACTCAGGTAGCTGCCGCTGCTGGCTGGCGTGGCGTCAGCACCAGACACTCACCAGCTTGAGGAACTTCTACAGGGTCGGATTCTGAGACGGCTACAGGAATCACTCGGCTTTTTTTTTTTTAATTTTAATATGATTTGTATTAACTTTATTATACAAAGGTACTGGAACAAGGAACGGACATTCCCTTCTAACAGCACGGCCTACGTGCATGTTGAGGTCCATCCGCCACGTGCTGAGCTCCCAACTACAACACTAATCCAGCCAGAGCTGCGTAGCACCGACCGCACCGCGGCAGCCAGAGGTCACTCTCGGGGTCCCTGCTTCACTGCAAAGCGCATGGGTCTTGAATCAGTAAAAAGAAAAAGCCATCTGCAGCTGCTGTTAGAGCATTCGCCCTGCTGGTTTGGACATCGTAGCTCTAGGTGAAGATGGTCTCTGTGCCGGTCTAAGGAATGAAGGAGAACTGGGGCAGGGAAGGCGAGCTTCCGTCAGGGTGAGGACGTGTCTCGCCTCCCTCCAGCATCTGCCCAGGCCGACTACGCTGAGAAGTGGTAGCAACTGTTTTACACACGCAGGGAGACACTTGAGCAAGTGTCGGTTACTTTTCTTGTGACATGAGGACTTCTTTTTTAACAAGAGGACAGGCATTATTTTAACAGGGTGATGGTGAGTTGAGTTTTAGAAATGACCATGAAAGCTGCTTGTAGAACCTAGAGTATTTTTATTAAACTATTTTTTTAAATGTCAAACTTCTGATCATGTCAGTGGACACGTGAAGAGCAGGGGTGTGTGTTCTTCTTTGCTGGTGACATCCTTTGATAGCATTAGAGTCATTGTTTGCCAGTGAACCAAAGATCCTGAACAGTGGCTGTCAGTGGTGAGTGGAATTCTGCTTTCCAGGGGTGCGACACTCCATGACGAACCTGTGACAAGGGCCAGCCCTGTTCGTGGTTAGTTCATCACTGTGGTTAAAGCCCTCAAGGGAGTAAAGGAAGTGAGTACAGGCGGGGGTGTGGTGGGGTGGGGGGAGATGGGGGATTGGAAACTGGACAGAAAACGTCAGCATCAAATTCCTTGGGTATCCCCTAGTGATTACATCATCCTTTCTTGCTCAGCATCTTGATTCTGAACTGACTTCCTGAAGAGGTTTAGTTACCTAAGCTGTTGTTGAGAAATAACGTCTCAGCGAAAGAGTAATGTTTATCCTCTGTGATGGAGGTGGGGCGGGGATTTATGGGGAGCCATGTCTCTCCTGAGGGCATTGCTTTACGACCACTGCTGGCTGCGCCGCTGTCTTGCCGTCAGCTCTTGAAGTATTAAAGTGAATTTCCGGGTCTGTTGAGGACTAACACCTACCAGCCCACTGGCTCAGCTGTAGCCTGGTCCTGTGACTGAGCGTTTGAGAGAGCAGACCGGACACGGTGGGTAGCTCATCTCACTGATGACTTTAACTAGCTGCCTTAATTTATGCGGGATGTATGGGTTTCTGAAACTCACCTGCTTCAAAGGTATTTAGCAGCGGAGGCCCCAGGCTGTATATGGGGCTTTACTGGTGCAGGGGTGAGTGGGCTGGATACAGAGATCTTGCTGTGTTCTCCAGCTCACATGCAATAACTACCTAGCTACCGCAGAAAGAGTGTTGTTGAGTGTAGGTAACTAGGGTGGGTTGAGGGTGCTGTTTCCATGATGTAGGGACAGCACTTCTTCTGACCTCCCTGTTGTAAGAAGCAGGTTTCCTGGTGGTGGAGGCCATGTGGGAAGTGAACACACGATTCGGTCTTCAGGGATTTCTCTTGAAAGCCTTTCTTAAGCTACTGTCTAAAGGCAACTAAAGACAGAGCCTGCCCCTTGGAAGCTAAAAATATGAGTCATTGTGTAAATTAATAATTTTCAAAGATTCCCTGGGACTGACTTTTTCCTGTATAGATCCCCCTTATCTCAGGTGAATCATGGAATGTAGGTGACAGAAGCCTATGACATTTTCTCTAGTCTCTAATTGGATCAAAGAAGGTTTACCATGTACTCCATGGTTTGGGTTTCTCTAAAGATAAAGTATGTATAATCCAGATTTATTGGTTTTCTGTTTTAATACAGTCTTTTGCTTTTTCATTGAAACCTTTGTGTCAGAGCGGTTACTAACAGCTGAGTCTGCAGGCGTGAAACCCTGGGCTGTCCAGAAGCAGCAGCGACCACTGAGCCATAGGTGGCCGATCAGCTGTTAGTTCAGTGAAAATGCCAGCTGTGGGGTATTAACAACATTCATCGGTTGCTAAGGCTTAAGACGGGGCTCGTTTATTCCCACAACAGCACAGCTCTGTAAGACACAGCTTTGCTCAAGCTGTCCGTTGATTTTCCGTGTTTTGGTGTAGAAGACCCATAGACAGTCCATGTCTAAGTAGTAGCTACCTGTCTGTAAGGCCTACAAGTAACTTAAGGGTCAGATGAGAGTCCTTGGCTACCCGGCACACTCTCTCTTTGAATTGTTAAAATTCAAAAGCAGCCATTTTGCTGGGATCACGATTACTTGCCGTTTTATTTCAAATTCTAGCGCATTTATTTCTGGAAAATCTTATGAAGCCTACACTTACTAAATATTGGGACTACTAGAAATATTTTAGATTTTTATTACAAAATGTGAGCAGGGAATGCTGCTTTAAAAGGAATAAAGAAATAAAAGTGTCTTGTAGTTATTTTTTTTAAAGCAATATAATTTAGCAATTGTCCAGAACCGTCGTGCTTCTGAGTCCAGCGTTTTGAAGTCTGTTGGGCAGCAAGAAGGCACAACAAGAATAAAAACCATGTTTCTGAAAGTTCTGTTGGTGGGATTTCTTTCTTTCCTTTTCTTTTTTAATTTGGTTTTTGTTTTGTTGTTTGCAGGTTGGTGCTATCTAAATCTTAAATACTATTTTGTGATTGAAATTACCAAATATAGCTAGTTCACCTATCATGAAGATAGCTAGCTAGTTCACCTGACAATCACGTCATGAGCATAGCTGGTTCACCTGGAGATCACATCATGAAAAGGCTCAAGTATTTAGAACCTGAATCGTATTACATTTAGACAGTCAAGGCAGTTGACCAAGTCTGGGTTTAAAATTGTTGAAAACACACGGGGTAGGAAAGAGTACAGGTGACACAAGGCAGGTGAGTGACCTCACAGGTAAGGAAATGACGCTGTCACACAAGATTTCCAGGGTAGCGTTTCATCGCCAAAACATGGACGTGGGAACCTCTTTCATTCTGTTACTTCTATTCTCAGTGTTGCCTTGTCCTCAGTCAGAGAGGGAGCTAGGTGGCTCAAAACGTCAGCATCAGTCCTCACACAGCTTCAAGTGTTTTAAGAACCCGGGGGATGCTGAGAGATGGCTGAGCAGTCAGGAGTGAGCACCACCCTCACAGAGGACCTGAATTTGGGTCCCCGTACCCATCCACAGGCGGCTCACAGTCGCTTGTAAACTCTAGGGGATCAGATGACTGCAGCATCTGCAGTCACATGTCCGTGTAATTAGACATGGTGAAAATGACGTGCCACAAAGGGCCCTGTGTGTGACTGTGACCGTGTCAACTGTCTATTTAACTGTTACCCGGCCTGGTACCAGGGTGGGCCTCACTATACATCCATGGATACCAGAACCAAACTGGGCTTCTTCTCAGAACATTAAACAGATGAGCTCTTGTCACCCGCAAGCCTGGTCTGGGTCACACAGTGAGACCCTGTCTCGGAGGGAGACAGCGACAACAGTGGTCTTCAGTCTACAGCACTGCACTCGGTCTGTCAGGACCAGTGAGCTGCAGGCGGGTTCCCATCCTTCCCTCCTGACCTGCCTATAGGACTGGAGCAAGGAGAACCACTGTGCTGGGTTCCCAGATCCCAGGTTCCTTGTGCTCTGGGGGGTCCCCGGAATCCATATTTCCTCCTGTGCTTCTGTTTTCCCAGCTGCCGCTCTCCAAGGCTCAATTCCCTCCAAAATGATCATGAAGAAATACAAAGTTCCCGCTTAATTCCTCAACCCAGTTGGGTGGGTGACCCAACTACTGTCGACTCAGGCACTGTGTCTACATTAGGAAGGAGGGTGTTCACTAACCTTTTCACTGAAACGTCTGTAGTCAAAGACAGCTGTTAAGTCCCTTCCCTAGGACAAATACTGTTGGGCCTAGCTCTCTGTACTTGGTCTTGCTGGTAGAGTATTGTCTTGAGCAAAACACCATGACTGCTTCCAGAGTATCCAAACCCTAGAAAAGTATTAATTCAAGTGTCCACATTCTCTCTTACACACACACACACACAAAAAAAACCCCTTTGATGATTCCCTCATTCTTTTAAAAGGAAAAACTTAAAATTTGTATGTGTGGGTTTGTACAGTGTCCTGTGAGACCAGAAGAGGGGTCAGAAGTTCACAGGTAGTTCTGAACTGCCCAGGTGGCTGCTGGGAACCTAACTTCTATCCTCAGGAAGAGCCGGAGTTGCTCTTTCCACCGAGTCTTGTCATCAGCCAGATTGTCTCATTCTTGTCCTATCTGTACCTGACTGTTTTTCTCAGGATTTTATTGTTCTCTCGCTTGGAGAAATAATCTCCCCTTCCTCTACCCACAGCCTAGATACAGGAAATCTCCATTTTTAACGAAGCCCTGCATCCTGGAGCAGATGGGACTTATGGGGAAGAACTTGGTAGTGTGCTCACCCTAAGATGACAACCCATGGTGTGGAGCTGAGACCAGGCTCTCCTGAATGGATGTGGGATTACTGAGCGAGTCTAGAAAGGTTAACGGTACACTCTCCAGAGTGTGATCTGTTCCTCGTTGGTTACTGTGAGAGCAACTATAGAAATTCACAGGCTGTGCGCAGTGGGTGAAGACCAAAGCACCACAGAGCCCCGCACATGGTTAGCACTGGGGGTCCTACTTCATAAAGACAATCTGTTTCAAAATGTTTGGGCTTTTAATAGAGACAGCTCCAAAAACATTGAAAAACAGGATGACGCTTTGCTGAAGTTGTTTAGGTTCAAACTACTCAGCAGAATTTCCTAAATGCACTCTGAAGAGGCCTTCCTCCAATCCCTCTGCATCCTTCCGTTTCTCTCTCTCTCCCAGGACCATGTTTTTCTCCCAGCATCTTCTCTGCCACACCTCCCTGTCTGAGGCCAAACCCAAGCCCACCCTTATTTATCCCAGAAGCCCATATTGGGTCTGTCAATCTAGACACAATAAAGATTTGAGCTTCCATTTCTCCACACTGTTCTCTCAATCCAAAGTATTATCCGTACAGTTATTTCTCCTCAACCTCTTAAATGCTCAAAATTGGATATTTTTCATTTTTATGAACCTTGGACAATATCTTAGGTGTAATTAACTATGCTGTTGTTTGATCCTAGCTGTTGGGAAAGTCCTTCCAATCATGGTTGTAAAGAGGACTCCTTCCCAGGTGGGCAAAAAAAAATACTGGCTCTGCCTTGGAAGTTGATCGTACAGGATCTTTAGCAGTGAAGCAAAATTACTGCCTACTCGGGTAAGCAAGGGTTCCTGCCACACAAGGTCATTCTTGGGCTCTGAGCTAAAGACCAACCAATGTTGACCAGAAAGAACTAGCCAAGATTCTGTAAAATGGGTTTCAAAACTGTTTTCTCAAAAATTTCCCAAGGGGAAAGTAAGGGATACTACTTACTGGCTAGAAATGAGAAAGTACCTTTCTATCCTTAAGATAGGACCTCATGCAGTCTGGGGTAGCCTTGAACTAACTGTATAGCAGAGGATGACATCGAGCCCTCCTTCCCCATCATCCAGCCTTCAGCTCTCCAGCACTGGGGTTGCATCCATGCACCACCAGGGTGGCTTTGGGGGTTCTGAAGATCAAACCACATTCTCAGCCCTCCCCATACCCCTCACCTGTGGGGCTGAGACAGTCTCAGCCCAGGCTGGCCTTCAAATGAACTTGTAGCCAAGGATAACCTTGTCCACCACTCAATCCTTCTACCCCTACTCCCAAGTACTAGGATTACAAGCGTGTACCCCAGCTATTCTTTTTAGAATAAAAATAACCCCTTGTCTAGAAAGCAAGTAAAGCTTCCAGGCATAAACACAAGTAGGGATGTAAACCTGACTGGTGGCCTGGGGGCACTAGACAGGGCAGTGGCCCCAAAGACCCTGGCCTTGCCTGGACCCACAGCCTCTTCCTTTCTTGGGGGAGCGGCTGCATTCTTCCCTTTGTGTTCAGGCTCTGGGGGAAATGAATCATCATTGTGAGGAAGCAAGGCCTGTGGTGATTCAAACTCAATGGTGATTCAAGCTCAATGGCCGCCATGCAGGATGTGAACTGAGGAGACCTCACCTGTTAATCTCCATGTTGTTATCTATGAAGGACCTTGCCAAAATACTCGTGTGTGTGTGTGTGTGTGTGTGTGTGTGTGTGTGTGTGTGTGTTTAAGTTGGAGTATGTCATGCACATAGTCCTGGGTTTCCTAAGGGCATTGTCATCTGATAGGGGAGTTCAGCCAATCACATTCTGTTCGTGGGGCGTGTCGCCCTTAGGCAAAAGTTTACCTGTAAACCTGGCGAGTGCGCTTCCCCTAGCCCTCTCTTGCCTGTCTCCTGCATCAGGACTGATCGTTGGGATTCTGGTGTAAGTCTTCCCTCTGTTTATTAAAGCTGTATATTTTGTGTTAAGCTAGTCTGGCGGATCTTTTATTACCGATCGCACCGCGCCCCTTCAGCCATCCAAGTATAGAAATTGCTTTTATCTGTCTCTGGACTGCTCTCAGCTCTGCCATCCGCCCCCTTTGTCCCTGTGCACAGTTTTTCTCTATAGATAAACGCCAAGAAATCTAGGACTCACGGTGGTTTTCTGAGCCTGACGTAATCCATTTCAGGACAATTATCTCTGTCTGGTTTTCCTGCACGTGACATAATCTTGTTGGTTGTGGTTGGACAGAATTCCACTGTGTATATGTACCACATCACCCAGTCATTTGTTGGCAGACACAGGCTGGCTGCAGCGCTGAGCTGCATGAGGGCTGCAGTAAAGATGGATGCTTCAGTGTCTCTGGGACATGTTCATCTGGTGGTAGATGGGTCGTCTAGATGCTTTATTTTAGTTTTAAGGCATTGCTATGCTGAGTCCCACAGTGGCTGGACTAGTTACGTTCCCACCAGAAGTTCTTGGGGCCCCCTCTACCACATCCTTCTGAGTGACGGCCATAATCTGTTCTAACCGAGTTGAAATCTCAGAATAGTTTGAATTTGCATTTCTGAACACTTTTTCATGTTTCTTGGCCATTTGTACCCCATCTTTTGAAAGTCGGCTGTTCATTTCATTAGCCCACTTATTGTTTGGGCTTTTAAAAAAGATTTGTCTTTATGTGTGTAAGTGTTTTGCCTGAGTGTTATTTATGCGTACCACAGGAACCTGTGGAGGTCAGAAGAGGGTGATAGCTGATCTATCTGAACCTGGAGTTCTGGTTGTAAACCTTCATGTGGGTGTGTTGACTGAGGTTTCTGTCCCATCAGGTCCCACAGCCATTTAGTCGCAAATAAACACACAGAGGTCTACATTAATTATAAACTGTTTGGCCTATTAGCTCAGGCTTCTAATCCTTACATCTTAAATTAACCCATTATTCTTGTCTATGTTAGCCACGTGGTTTGGTACCTTTTATCAGCAAGGCATTTTCATCTTACATTCTCTGTGTCTGGGTTAAGACTGCAAACTGAGTCTTTCCTCTTCCCAGAATTCTCCTGTTCTCATCGCTGCCTCTACTTCCTGCCTGGTTTCCCCGCCTATACTTCCTGTCTGGCTACTGGCCAATCAGTGTTTTATTAAAACAATACAATATTAGTGACAGGCTACAAGACCATTGTCCCACAGTGTGGGTACTGGGAACCGAACCTGAGTCCTCTACAAGAGCCGCAAGCGCTCCTAACCATTGAATGCTGTCTCTAGCCCCTAAATTAGGTTTTTTGATTTCTTGGCATTTTGTCTTTTGGATTCTTTATGAGATGTAAATCCTAATTCCGTCAGGTGTTTAGTTAGTAAAGATTCGCTCCCATTCTATAGTGTCCATGGTTGAGCCGCTTCTGCACTGAGGAAACAGGAATGAACGGATGCTCATTCAGCTCCAGCAGAGGCTGAGGAAGTGGCTGGGTGACAGAGGTAAAAAGGACTCTTGTGCTGTCAGGGTCGGCCAGCTCTGTCTCACCGCGGAATGGAGGCTTGGTTCTTCTCTGAACAACGAACATTGTCTGGGCAGTAGAGTCTGAGCAAGTTGCGGAGACTCGGGTGGGTTTTAGGACGGTCTGCCGGCTCTGTGAGTCCTTTCTGGGCTGTGTTGCTGGCTTTTGGGGAATTGAGAGTTCTTTGAGTGTGACAGGAAACCTACTTGCACCCTGTGGAAGCTAAGAAGGGCCACACCTTCCGCCCTCTGGACCCAACAAGAGGAGTCTGCGACTGAGTCCTTGGAGAGCCAGGTGGCTCGTGCCAAACCGTGGCGTTTTCACTGCTGTTGCTTTACCTAGGCAGACTGTACCCAAGGAATCCACCTCGCGACCAGAGGTCTGGAGCCACTCAGTGTGTGCTGGGGGTGACGGCGTAGGATGAAGGGAGGTGGAGAGCTCCAAGGAGCCTTGATTGCACTTGTGCCTAACTGTTGCAGGAGTCCCCGTGACAGCTGTTGACACCCACACCCGGACGTCCACAGCTAGGCGCTTGCCTCGAGCCAGGAAAGGGCCGGGCCGCGGACCTGTCCTTCCGGCACCACTCAGGGGTCTCCTGCGTCCTCCACCTCTCACAAGTGGTTTCACCGCCTCCCAGGGCGTGCCGGCTGCAGCCTGTGGGCTCGGGGCAGTCGGCTGAGGCTCCGCCTGTGCGTATGCCTGGTCCCGCCCCGAGCCAGCGAGAGCTACCGGAGCTGCGGTTGCCAAGCCCGCGCTCCGCTCCGGGTGCGCCCGGATCGCAAATGGGAGTCGCGGGGCTGCGGGGTTCGCGATGGCTGCAGCCAGGGCTGAGGCTCCAGGTGAGTGGTTTGCGGGGACCCCGACAGCGCCGGGGGAATCCCCGATGGCGAGCCGGCTCCTCCACCCCTTGCTGGGGGGCCTTGATGGCGAAGACAGGATCCCCCGGCCCTATGCTGGGAGTCCCCGGATAGTGAAGCCAGGATCCCTACTCCATGCGGGAGGTTCCTGCATGTCTACATCAGGGTCTTATCTGAGGGCAGTGGGTCAAGGCAGTGGGTGCCCGCAGCCCCAGCTCAGGTGCAGCACCTCGGGGACTGAGTCCCGGGCACGGGGTTGGGTCCCGGCTGCGCCCTGCAGAGGGTGAGCTACGTGCACAGTCCCCCGCGCCGGTCTGCATCCTCTGCATCCGGCTGCTCCAGTTTGCGCCTCTCTGAAAGAAGCAGCGAGTTCCAGGGTGCTGCGGGAGGCTCTCGCTGCATCCCAGTGGCCAAGTCCAGACCTAGGGAGCGTGGGGCGGGCGGGCACCCTGGCGGGCACCCTGGCAATGATAGCCTTGGTAGTAAAGCCAGCAGTGGTCTGGGGGGTGGGGGTGAGGATAATTCCTTTATCTTCCGGGCCCAGGGGTTGAACCCAGGACACCAGGCTAGCGCTGTAACCTCAGCTTGCTCCTTTTCGTTTTGTGAGTCTTGTTGGGGGTTTAGCCTCGTTTGTCCTCTCTCGCTCTTGAATAAAACTTGAAGGTGTCTTCCCTGGAACACCGCGGCCATTACTTCACAGATGATAATCGTAAAAAGCAGAAGGAAAAACAAAACAAAACAATAAGTAAAAGCAGGCACAGAAGTCAAGAGGCCAGTATTTTGATCGACGGGCTGACTGACTGAGTGGTTTCTTGTTGGGTAGCCCTTGGCTGGCCTGGAACTCGCTGTAAGACCGTCTCAACCTGGACCTGCTTTCCAAGTGCTGGCTGCAGACTTGTCTCTACGCGACTGGTGTGATTTTAATAAACGGTGGGGAGTCTGTCTGTGGCCTTTCAGAGGCCTCCTGTGGAGCTCAAAGCCGGTTTGCTGAAAAGAGGGTCCCTTCTTCACTCTCCCCTGGGTGCCTTAGTTTCCTCCCTGTAAAATGGGGCTGATGACTTCCTCTGCCTCTAGGGTCTGCGGCTGTGAGGGGGTAACCAGCTACAGAAGCATTTGGCATGCTTAGCGCGGTCCATGAGCATCAACTGAACACATCTTTTAGTTTAGGGTCACTTGCCCACTACGTGAGAGTCATCTAAGTATGGCGCCATTTCGGCTATACTGCGGAAATGTGCAAAACAGGTCTTTATGCCAGACGCCAAGCAGGGTCCTGCTTTTTTGCCTGCAAGTCCTTCCATTTGGAAATAACTGCTCATGGGAAAACAAAAGTCTAAAAACCACTCCTGCCGGATCGCGGGACAACATACAGTTTGGCTTACACTGTATGAAAAGAAAATTACGACTACAGGGCTGTTTTGAAGTTGTCCACAAAATGTGAGGTGGATCCAAACATAATTGCTTGCTCACTTGCCACTTTATGAGACCAGTTTGTGGGGTAAACGCTGAGAATAAGCCTGCTGCCCAGCGGCTGCGCTTCTTCCTGGAAGATGATTCCAGAATCGGTGGAGCTAGGGAGAGGGCCCTCAACTGTAGTGACTCAAGTTCATGTTCGTGACTCAGAAACCCAAACTGGTGTCCCATTCTGCTTCGCATAGGCTGCTGTTCCTGACCTGCGACCTCGGCGGTTTCTTCCAGGAACGCCTCACACACGCTACTCCAGGATGGGCTTGGTGCTCTCAGCATGGTGCAAGCGGGAGCTTCTCAGGCGCGTGGGATCCAGGTCATTATTCAGCCCCAGAACCCACTCAGCATTATCAGGGACTCGGTGCTACCCTCCCTGACCCAAGGGAAGCTGAGGCATCTGCCAGCCCTGCCCTGGTGTGTGCCAATCTGTGCCCTGCTCCTCCCCACTTTCAGAATCGGGCACCTCCTCTGGAAGATGGGGACAGTAGGAGATTCTGCTTTATGAGGTCCCCAGAATTAGGTGAGGTCGAGGTGCGTGGAAAGGGCTGGACAGAGAGCTCCGTGGTGAGGAGCGCTGGCTGCGCCTGCACAGGGCCTGAGTTCAGATCCCAGCATTCATGTGGTGTCTCACCACCCTCTGTGACTCTAGATCCAGGCAGACTGATGTCCTGGCCTCTTGGGTCACAGAGGGCACACAAGTGGTACACAGACATCCATACAAGCAAAACACTCATGTACAAAACTCACACAGTCTTGCAGAATCTGTTGGGTATTTTTTTTTGCAGTGTGTGTGTCTGTGCATGTGTGTATCTGTGTTTCTTTGTGCATGTATGTATGTCTGTGTGTGTGTCTCTTTGTGTGTGTATGTGGTGGTGGTGGTGCTGCTGTTGCTGCTGCAGATCAAACCCAGGACCTTGTGCCTGCCAAGCTCATGCCCTACCACGAGAGCCCCACTCCCAAGGCCTATGGACTCTTGCTGGACTTGAATCCTGGGCCACAAGTTCCTTTGTTTATGGTAGAGATCTGTTTAGGAAAATCATTGTTTACCAGCTGTGTGATTTTGGCTAACTTATTTTGTTTCTCTGAGCTCCAGTTTTATTTATAAAATTGGGCGAAAGCCCTGACTCCACGGGTGGTGGCAGTTAAGGAGTATGACTGTAAATGGGGTGGAGGGTTCCAGCTTCCACACATTCTAATTTCCCTTATGACCCCAGGACATTGTCTCTGCCACAGAAGCCCCTCCTAATTCCTATTTTCACACCGCAGAGTTTTTTGCCTCTGGTGGCTCTCCTGTCTGTTTGCCGCATATTGCTTGTGCTGGTTTTATGGCTTCATCTTCAGCATGCGGGTCCTGCGAGGGCAGAGTGGGTCCTTACCCGTCCTTCCCGTCTCTGATCCTTTTTCCTATTGAGTGCCTAGTAGAGACTGTAGTTCTTAAGTGAATGAACCTTCGCTTAAGGTGCGGGCAGGGCTGGTTCGTTCATGAAAGACCCATCAAGTATGCACTGTTGGAACCAGAGTTCTGCCTAGAGAGGTCAGTAGTGGCTTAGGCTGGAGGAGAGCTTACATTCCTGGCTTTTCTCCTTACGAGTGGGTCATAGAAGTGACTCAGAAACTGGTTTGTTCTGGCTTTCGGTTTGAGGGGCCCACCACAGCAGAGAAGGCATGGCCAAAGAAGTGTGAAGTTACGGTCACCTTGTGTCCACAGGAAGCAGAGAAGACAGGAAGTGTGGCCTGGCTATCAGACCTCAAGGCCCGCCCACAGTGACCCACTTCCTCCAGTGAGATTCCGCCTCCAAAGGGTCCAAACAGCGCCACCACCTGGGGGCCAAGTCCTTAAGCACATGAACCTTTGGGGACATTTCACGTTCAAACCACAGCAGAAATGGGCCGCCGTTGTATTGTATTGACAAGACAAAGCAATACCCGATAGGGTAACCACTGAGAATAAGGTCCCCTCTCAAAGCTGGGGAGACATGGCCTAATTTATGAAGAGGGAGCATTTTAGTATCCGTGGGTGGGTATCTCGCAGAGAGGAGATGGTGCGGCGTTCAGGGGACAGAACAGGAACAGCGGAAAGTGGCCGGTGACTGGAGGACGCAACATTCGCGTTCTTTCTTGAATGGAAGCCATCTTTGCCGAAGTTGCCTCGCTGTGTGGCGTTAGAGTCCCTGCCATGTGGACAGTTAACCTAGTAAGTCCATTAGAGGGGCAGAGGTTTCTCCAGAATGAAAGACACCACGTGCACCTTTTGTTGTGTGGCTCCTGGTTGGTGGCGCAGCGTGCTCATCACCCTGGACGAGGAGTGAGCTGAACCCGAGGCTGGGGGAGAAGGCGAGAAAGCAGAGGAATGGATGCCTCTCACACAGGCTGGCCGGTTGGCCTGGCCGTCCTTCCGCATGCATCTCCACTCGTTCTCTTTTATTTTCCGAAAATGCAACACTTACGTCTTTCAAGCTGCTTCCCACTCCATCTTTCAAAAAGCATTTTCAGAACTATTTAGTTTGTCCCCACGACATCCTTTGGGAAGTAGGTACCTGCCCCTCCCTGTCTATTCACATCACAGGCCACGCTGGCCTTGAACTCGGAATCCTGCTGATCCCCGCCCCCCAATACTGTGATTACAGACCTTCACCACCACGGTACAGGTGTTGGAAGCTAGGATGCCGTAAACGCTGTTGACATTGGTTGAATACCCTGTAAACATCTAAAGGGACAGAAGATTGTTGGGGCCCGAGAGGTGTTCTGGTGAAATATTAGGTGCGACACCCTGGCCTCCAGGCGGGCTTTCATTCTCTGCGTGTGTACCAGCTCCTTGACCGGAGAACTGGACTTCTTCTCTGAGTTTACACAGCCGACAAAGGTCAGTTACACTTGTATTGCCATGGAGACAATCAGGACTGCGCCCTAGCAGGCTGCCACAGCTTTAACGGGTTTCCTAGGCAACCACGTTGCCTTAAAGGAAGGCGACCAGACCCAGCTTGCCTTGTGTCATGGTGCTTTAGGGTTCTCTAGACATTAGCACACAACGTTTCCTTAAAGCATTAGCACGTCTTTTTTTAAGTTTCTAATTCACTCATGTCTGTGTATGTGTGTGTGTGTGTGTGTGCGTGAGCACACGTGCTTGTGTGTGCACATGGCATGGCACACTTGTGGAGGTCAGAGGATAACTCTCAAGAGTCAGTTCTTCACTGGCCATTCCAGGGATCAGGCTCAAACCTCAGGCTGCTGCAGCAGGTGTTTCTACCCACTGAGCCGGCTGTCTGGTTCTTATTACTTCGGGTATACGGTCACCACAGTTACCTCTGGGACATGTGACAGGAAGCAAAAGGGCTGATGAGAAGCGGGGGTCAAATCCACACCTCAGAATTTAAGATGCTTCAAGAGCAAGCTATTTAGAGGAAGATTTAGAAATGATTTGTTTCTGATTTCTCTAGGAGCTGACAATAATTTTAGATTCTGGGCATCACTGTTACTATGGAAACAGTGGTAATTAAGGATGTAAATGATAGGGTTATTTTATTGCTTTTAAAATATTTGTTATGCTGGGTTTGGTGATACAAGCCTGCAAAACACACCGGCAGGTACAGAACTCAGCAGGCTGAGGCAGGAGGATTTCAAGTTCACGGTCAAGTTCAAGTTTTGCTAGACATAAGGTCCTATCTGAAAACAAACAAAACAAATGCGCGCAAAAGACATTCCTGCTGTTTCAGATGGTGGAGGTTTCATTTTCCTTTCAGGTTCCTTCATATTTTTATAATAATTGACTATTTTTGAAATGGCATGCGAATATTTTTATGAGTATGGATTGAAGGGGCGTGGTCGATCGGTAGTTAAAAATTAACCAGACTAGCTTAATATAAAAGGTTTAGCTTTAATAAACAGAAGAAAGGAAAACTTACAAAACCAGGGTTCCAGCAATCCAAGAACACAGGGGGCAAAGAGAGAAGTGGCAAGCCAATGCGGATCTTTTATTTGTTTTGTGTGGCCCCAGGGGGACACACCCTAAGCAGAATGTGATTGGCTGAAGTTCCCCATCACCAGATAAATTCCTCTCCTGCCTCTCAAGTTTAACTGCCTTGGTAGAGCCATCCTTCATGGGTTCTAAACCTGGTGTGGCCACTGGGGCCCAATTCACTGGCCAACAGTGGTCTTCTGTTTGCTCAGAACCTGAGGGAACTGTCTTTGTGGGGCTGAGTTCGACTCTCATCGAACTCAGAGAGCTGCTCTAGGCCTTTCAGAAAGCCCTGCTGAAGTGACTTGCCCCGCTTTTCCTCAGTGTGGGGCTCACCAGGTCTGGGACGGGTTGGCTTCTCCGAGGTTCTGAGAACTGCTTGGTCCTGCTCTCGTCTGACCTGGGGTTAGGCAGAATACTTTTTCTAAAGTCATCGTCAGAGAAATGTCTTTGGTCTTGTGTCACTCTGACTGGATTCTGAATCACAGCTCCGCGGTTTCTCAGAACTCAGTGGCTACAGTCCTGGCTGGTGCTTGCTCCCACGTCCCCGCCCCCTTCACGAACACCCAGTGCACCATCTCAGGCCATCGCGGAACGCTCTGAACACCTCCCGAGTTGTAGCTCACCAGCTCTGCAGTAGCTGCCTGAGGACAGCACTGTTTTATTCTGTGTTCCAGATGCATAGCCGAGGAGCTGAGAACTTAGGTTCCTTCCTAAGGGAAAGACTGCCGAGCCAGAGCCTGAACCCAGGCCAGCTGGCCTCCAGAACACGTAACCTTTCTGCCTGACCTTAGATTACATTCCTTCAATACCTGCAGTCCTTCCGATGGTGCCATTTCTGCAACATGCTGATAACTAAAATGGAACCTGTCTGTTGGCAGGAGAGTGGAGTGCCGGCTGGCCTCCAGGGCTTTGAGGGATTCTGAACAATTTCACCTAACAATGGGGTGATGTTGGGCAGATGCACGTGTCTGGGCACAGCCAGAGGAGCAGAGATGCCGGAGGCTTCTTGCAGTGATTGGCAGGGAGCTGGCATGCAAAGTGTGCAGGGAGCTAGGCCAGCCTGGAGCCTGCAGGGTGACTGTCCGCAGGCAGGCTGAGGGGCTCTGCCGCTGCTGTCCCAGGGAAGCCTCAGGTATGTCCCAGGCCTTTGATGGAGTAGATCAGTCCCTTCCAGTCTACCTGGGAGCATTTCCTTGACGATAATGCACCCGTGTTGGAGATTAGTCAAATCTAGAGGTCATTGTTTGATCGTGCTGCTGAGAACTGTGGCCAACCCAAGCAGACACAGCAGCAACAAGCAACAAAAATACAATCGCTGTGAGATTTTCTGTTTCTCTTTGCCTGTTTCTCATGTGTCAGCATCCACGAGCACCCGTGGAGTCAAATGAGGAGAGATTGAGAGTAACGAAGTGATGTTACCCAGGATCTGCTAAGCCTGCTTCGGGAAGATTGGGTTACAAAGGCAGAATTTAGCCAAAGGTGTGCTCGGGGCAAGGGAGTACACTGAGCAAGTTTAAGATCGCTGAGGAAGGATTTCTGTGGAAATTGCTTGCCAGCACACCACCAATTAAGTCCCCTTCTATAACAGTTAGTCATGGCTGCAGGCTACTGGACAGGACAGTAGGTTTGACCTCCTCTGAAGTACTTGGCCAGACTCAGTGTACGTGAAGCTCCCTGATACGTTTCTGATCTAACAGGCTCCTAAAGCGGCTTACACACTGTGCTGGTGGTGTGGAATGGGAAGGAAGGCCCATGTCGTTGCGAAAGGAGGTCAGTGAAGCAGATCCCACTACACAGTTGTGGCCGTGTCTTTTGCCTCCCTGACACTCAACATCAAAGACCCTGGGTGAGAGTCTGTCCTCACTTCCTCCCACTTGTTCTCGCCTCCGGGATGTGACAATTGCTCTTGGCGTGCATGCATTGCCAGATCTTGACTTTTCCTTCAGTCCTGTGGCTTACAGGAGAATACTAGGGGATCTGGTCCCAAAGTCGATAAATGGGATTTCCTGTAGCTCAGGCTAGCCTCAAACTTGTGATCTTCCTGCACCTGTCTTCCGGAAGCTGGGGTTAGAGGTGTTTGAGTCACACTCAACCACTATTGAAAGATTTTGATGAATTTTTAGTAGAAAGGTCATTGGTCAAAGGGGTGGATGCTGGCTCGGGGGCATGCCATGGCCCTCCACACCATGTTCCAGATCACCTTGTAAACATTTACAACAATTTTTGCTCCTACCAGAGTCCTGGGAGATGATGGAGTCGGCTCCTTTTCTCCCCCTCGCCCTCCCCAAGGCACCTTGGTCTGTATTTTCCGGTATTAATTGATTGATGGGTATCAGTCACCACAACATAAAGCCTGTCTCCATTCCTGGGTTTCGTGGTGCTGAGGATGGAACCCACGGCCCCATGTGTGCTAGCCAAGTGCTCTACCGCTGAGCTACGCCCCTAACCTTGTGTCTCCATCATGAATTCAGTAATTCTCAGGTTGCTTGTAATAGCCCCCCTCAGATGGCCACAGCCAATCACAGTCATGTGTTTCAGAGTCAGGAGGTGAGACTGCCATTTCTCTGAGCTCCTCACTGTTTCCCAGTGCCATGCCACTGCCTCCACTCTGGCTGCCTCTGGGCCGTCTGCCCCCCGTATGCTTGTTCTGTCACGCAACAAACTTCCAAAGGTGAGTGAACCCACAAATTTCAAACTCGTGGTTGAATTCTCTAAATTCAAATAAAGGAGACTTCTCATCCCGTCGCGTTTCTCTTAGCTGAGTTTTCAGATATCAAGACAGAACTACTGTATGAATTGTGTAATATAATAATGCATAAGGTGAGAGTTAATATCTGAAATACTCCTCCTGTGCTTCTCACACACAGGTAAAGGGCCGGCAGAGAGCCAGAGCCTTGCTCTTATGGGTTCTAGTCACAGGAGCCCAGGGACGAAACTCACAGCTCCTGGACCTGCCAGCTCCCTTGTGATGGAGTTTCCGAGGAAACGCAAGGGAAGTGACTCAGACCCGGCCCAGTGAGTGCGCGTTGTTCCAACCCCATGAACTCTTGCAGTCATTTCCAAGTCTGTGGCAGCATGGTGGTTGCTCACGGCCTACTGTACCTGTCACTGATCCTGCCTTCCAGGACTGGCGCTGAGGGCTGTCCAGGAAGGTCAGCCAGAATCTGAATGAGATGTTGGTGTATAATCTGTTTCAGTATGTAATGCTTATGGTCATGACTAACTCTCCTCTTACCTTATCAAAATACTGCACCAGGAGCAAAACATTCGTGCATGTTTGTCTTCCGGTCACTTCACTGGTCACCCAACCCATCGGTTACAGAATAGCCCAGTGATCTGCACTCAGTTTAATCTCATAAAGCTCTTGTTTCCATAGTAACTAAGCCAGCTAGATAACGAAGATCTCAGTATTTGCTTGGTTCTGTGTTGCTGGGAATAAACCCAGGACCCCAAGCGTGCTAGGTAAGAGGTGTGTTTCTGAGACACACCCCTGTCCTCACTGGAGGTACACTACCACTGAGCCATTCTTCAACCTACCCCTGCTCTCCTATGCACCTTGTATCCTGAGATGTTTTCATTAGCCTCCCAAAGCTAGGTTTATACAATAAAACCGTTTGGGACAAATCTTGGGATAGCGCTGTGTGTGAGTGGGAAAGCTGGGGTCAGTTTCCCACCAGCCCAGAAGGGCGGCTTCTGAGTTAGAGAGAATACAAACCAGCTTACCAGTCTGTTTAAGTCAGTTCTCACCAGGATCCTTCATCTTTTAGCTTTGGTCCCCAGGACAGTGATACTGGTGTGGTTCAACCATAAGCCTCAAAGTACTTCTCCGGTCAGTCACGTATGACTGGGAGATTTCTTCCTGGTTTGTCTCTGTATTCTCTGCTTCTCTCCCATTAACAAGATGTACAGGATCAGGGCAGCTGGCCAGGGACAGCTACCTTCATCTGGAGATATCAGCTGATAACAAATGAGAGTTCCTACTAGGTGTGTGAGTGTGTGACTGTGTGTGTGAGACTTTGTGTGTGTGTGTGACTGTGTGTGTGAGTGTGTTTGAGTGTGTGACTGTGTGTGTGCGAGTGTGTGAGTATGTGTGAGAGAGTGTGTGAATGTGTGTGTGAGTGTGTGTATGTGTGTGTGTGTGAGTATGTATGTATGTGACTGTGTATGTGTGTATCTTGTTTTGGTTTGGTTTTGGATCTTTTTTGCTTCTAGAGATTCAGTTTCTATATAAACACTATCTAGCCTGGAACTTACTATGTGGCCCTTGTAGCTCAGGCTGGCCTTGAATTACATAATTCAGAGAGGATTTTCCATCCTCTCTAGGAATAGTCTCGTAGACGAGCCTGGAGGGTGTCTCCTAGGTTATTCCAAATCCTGTCATGTGACAATGAGCTTCACCATCCCAGGGGTGAGTCAAGGCCTCCTTCCTTCCCGGTCAGAATCCATGACAGGAACCACGGTGGGAAACCTTCTCCCGGGCCCCTTCGCCTGTCTTCCTTCCATCAAGAATGGAAATAGCAGCCCCAGTGGCAGCAGCGAGTTCATCTGCCTGGGCTTCCTGCTACGTGGAGAGGGTGTGGCGTGTGAAGGGAGCAGGCTATGCTCACTACGCTCCAGAGGTTCACCCTGGCCTGGTTCTCCTTTGCTCCTGCAATTTTCTATGGTTTTCTCAAAGCACAGTTCTTGCTAAGTGCTGGATATGTGTAATACTTCGCTCAGAGAACGCCAGCCTGTGGACATATGAGCAGTTTCACTCCCGTAGCCCCAGACTGTTTAATACTCATAAAGACGACCCTGTGAGAACGGTCACTTTCTTGTGCCACTGTGGGCTTTGGATGGACAGCGAATTCTCTCAAAAGGACTGTGGCCAAGGTCTTGTGCTATATAGCCATTCAACATTTATTAGGAATCTACTATGTGGGGATAAAGAGATGTCTCAGTAAGTTAAGAACACTTGTTGCTCTTTCAGAGGACTGGAGTTTGGATCCTAGAACCCACAAGTGAATCACAGCTTCCTGTAACTCCAACTCCAAGGAATCTGATATCCTCTTCCTGGCCTCCAACATGTGTGTGTGCACGCACACACACACACATATATACACACAAAACAAATAATAATTTAAAAAATTATTTATGTATATGAGTGTTTGTCTGCATGTATATATGTGCACCACTTGTGTGCAGTTCCCACAGAGGCCAGAAGAGGGTGTCAGATCCCCTGGAACTGGAGTTACAGGCAGTTGTGGGTCACCTGTGGACAAGAACAGCAAAGGTCTTACTTAACCACTGAGCCATTTCTCTAGTCGTCAAAAAAAAAAAAAAAAAACCTCCCTCCAGAAAATAAAACCTACTATGTGACAACTGATAGAGTAAGAGGTTGAGAAGTAGATGAGACCTGCTGTGTTTCAGAGGGAGAACAATATTTGATGGGTGAGGATTGTTGAATGGCAATTCTGCAAGTGTAGGTAGCAGGAATCAGCTGAGGAAAACATTAGGAGGAAGCGCAATTTATAGGGCTTTGGGGGCAGCGCAGGGCCCCAGAGTGGCTGGTGGTGGCTGAAGAGGAAGAGACATGATTGTGGATATTTATATGTGTGTGTGTGTGTGTGTGAATAACTTCATGTGCCATCAGCCGAGGGCCACCATATGGAAGGAGAAGCAGACTGAATGCCTGATGACGGATGCCTGTGGTTTGGATTTTCTTTAGTTGCAGATTTCTTGGGAAGTGTTCAGGGGCAGAACTTCTTCCAAAGACTGGAGGGAGAAGGTAGCCAGGGAGCAACGTGGAGCCTTAGGAAGGGGTACGTTCTCCTAGGGCACTCTGACTCTGGGGACACAGGCACCAAGCAGAGGATCATGACGACACCAATATTTAGAGAAAAGAGAGCTGAATCAATTGTCTAAGGTGCTGGGCTGAGCAAGGAGAACCAAGGAGGGTGAGAAGCAGGACCACGGAAACCAGGGGGGAGTGAAGACCTCCAAGATGGCGGGGTGCTCAGGGGCAGAGACCTCAACCTGACAACCTGAGTTCCAGATCCTGTGAAAGCTGGAAAGGCCTGACTCCACAGAGCTATCATCTGAACCTTGTCTGTGTGCTGCGGCAGGCACCCCATAGTGATGGTGGTGGTGGTGGTGATGATGATGATGGTGGTGATGATGGTAGTGATGATGACGGTGATGATGATGATGGTGGTGATGATGATGGTGATGATGATGATGATGGTGATGATGATGATGATGGTGGTGATGGTGATGACGGTGATGATGATGGTGGTGATGATGATGATGATGATGGTGATGATGATGATGGTGGTGATGACGGTGGTGATGATGACGGTGATGATGATGATGGTGATGATGATGATGGTGATGATGATGATGGTGATGATGGTGATGATGGTGATGGTGATGATGGTGACCATGATGATGATAATGATGATGATGGTGATGGTGATGATGAGGTGATGATGATGATGGTGATGGTGATGACAGTGATGATGATGATGATGATGGTGATGATGATGATGGTGATGATGATGGTGATAGTGATGATGGTGATGATGGTAATGATGGTGATATCCTTATAACGGAAGACTTAGGGTCAGAAACCACAGCAGCAACACTGGAATCAGTGCTCATGTCTTAAAGAGCGGGGCCCGAGCACTTTCTAGGCACAGTTGGGAGCTGGATGGGGATGAACTGAGGATGACAGCAATGTCTGGTCAGCTCTGATGTATGGAGACCACATGCTGTTCCACAGGAGGGAGGGAGGAAATCATGGCCTCGGATCACAGATGTCTTAGCTCAGGAAGTTCCTGGTCAAAGTCACAGAATATGGTGGAGATAAGATGATTTTATAAGCACTTTCCCCAGCTCTGACTTCCGTGTAAATGCAGCCACACCCTGAGTGCAGTGGGCCCCAGAACCCCAAGTGCCTCCGGATGACAGGGTGAACATTAGCCAAGGAGGTTCTTCCTCCCTTCCAGGGAAGCACACAGCCAGATGGAAAAGCGGCGGAGAGACAAGATGAACCATCTGATTCGGGAGCTGTCCTCTATGGTTCCTCCACTCAGCCCCGCGGCCCGGAAACTGGACAAGCTCACTGTCCTGAGGAGGGCAGTGCAGTACTTGCGGTCTCTGAGAGGTAAGTAAGGACAGGGCTGCTCCAGGCTGGGCATCATGGTCTCCATACAGAGCACTCTGTCAGTCTGGGGTTGGTCCTGGCTGTGACGTCTGTCCACCTTACCACGTCCATGCAGAATTGTACCCCTTGCTTCATGTGAGAAGACAGGCAGTCAGACACCAAAATCCCAGTATGGAGGTGGGCACTGGCAGATTAGGAGTTCAAGGCCAGCCTGGGGTACAGGAGACCTGGTCTCAAAGCAAACAAAGTATAAATTGGGTGCACACTGCCACCTTGTGGTTCCTGTTTAGATCTCTGCCTGCAAAGCCAAGCCCAGAGCAAGGGTTTCAGAGAAAAGGGTATTCTGTTCTGTGGATCCTGCAGCAACCTTGCCCAACTGGGTTTGCTGGAGAGAGCAAAGCTGTCTGGGACTTTCTTTTCTGTGCTTGGAAATCTGGGTTCCATGAGTCTGTTGAGAAATGAGAGTCTCTTTTACCCACTTCTGAGGCTTGTGTAAGTTACTGGGTTTCCTTTGAGTCTTTAGCAATGAAAACTTTCAGCCTCTCTGAGGTCATTTGATTTCATCCTAGAGATAACCCAGGTGCCTTTATATTAGCCTTGTCCCGGGGCAGGGGGTATGAAGCCATGAGTTTGTCCGCTAATTCAACACACATGAATTGAATACCAGCTACAAACCTGCTCTGTACTGGAGTTGGAGAGAGAGAGAGAGAGAGAGAAAGAGAGAGAGAGAGAGAGAGAGAGAGAGAGAGAGAGAGAGCTGCCCTCTGGATGTTGCTGTTCACAAGGGGGCCAGATTCACAGTGAGGTCATTGTCACCTGGTGTGGGGACAGCGAGATGGCTTAACAGGTAAAGGTGTTTGTCAACAATCACGACAGCCTGAGTTTGGTCCCTTGACCACATGGTAGTGGAGAGAACTGATCCCCCCATACATACACAAATAAATAAATGTTTTAAAATATAACAATACCCCCCCCTCCAGTGTGGTATGTGTCCCAGCAGAGGTGTATGCTGGGAGGAACTGTGGTAACTCAGCAGGGCAGACACTCCATAAACCCATTGCTGGTCCCTGGAGAAGATGTGTGTGTGATGCTGTGGCCCTTCTCAGCCATCGTGTGGTCAGCTGCTTGTCCTCACAGCCTGACCAGGCCTGAGTCACCACAGCATGTTAGTGAGAGGGGTGAAGACACTGGGTTCTGGGCTTCAGCATGCTTGACCCAGTATGGCCAGGCTCATTCTCCAAAGCTTCAACACTGACCTTCAGAGGGCGACGTGTGGATTGTGTTACAGACACAACAGTCAGAGGGCAGCATGTGGATTGTGTTACAGACACAACAGTCAGAGGGTGGTGTGTGGATTGTGTTACAGACACAACAGTCAGAGGGCAGCGTGTGGATTGTGTTACAGACACAACAGCCAGAGAGCAGCGTGTGGATTGTGTTACAGACACAACAGCCAGAGGGTGGTGTGTGGATTGTGTTACAGACACAACACCCAGAGGGTGGTGTGTGGATTGTGTTACAGACACAACAGTCAGAGGGTGGTGTGTGGATTGTGTTATAGACACAACAGTTAGGGTGGCGTATGGACTGTGTTACAGACACAACAGTCAGAAGGTGACTTGTGGATTGTGTTGTTTGGGCTCACAGAAAAACTACTCCAAGGGATGCTGAGAGGTTTTTGCCCCCGATGCTCCAGCCGCTATTTTCAAACTGAGGGAGCCAAGAACAAATGTTTCCTTGCCCCCACCCCGCTTAGTGCCTGGTAAAATCTACCTGATTGCTAGGAAATGAATCAAGGACTTGGATGGCATGAAAATGTTTGCACCCCCGCAAACATTTTAAACACTTTCTAGTTTGCTTTTGTGTTATTGAGGCAGGGTTTAAACTCAATATGCCGCAAGGCTTGTTTTGGACTTCCACTTCTCCTGCCTCTGAGTGCTGAGATTACATGCATGCACCCTATAGGCAGCTCTAATAGTTTATTGTTATTGTTGCTACTGTTACTATTGTTTGGCTTTTCAATGCAAGTTTTCTCTCTGTAGCCTTGACTGTCCTGGAACTTTATCTGTAAACCAAGCTGGCTTCAAACTCAGAGATCCATTTGTCTCTGCCTCCCAAGTACTGGGATTAAAGGCATGCATCACCACACCCACCTTAAAAGAGCATTTTAATTAAAAAAAATTGCGTGTGTGTGTGTGTGTGTGTGTGTGTGTGTGCACGCACGCAAGTGGGAGCAGAGACCAAAAGAGAGGGTTGAATCCCATGGAGCTAGAGTTATAGGCAGTTGTCAGCTGCCCGATGTAGTTGCTGGGGACCAAACTTGGGTTCTTTGCAAGAACAGTCAACACTCTTAGCCTCTGAGCCATCTCTCCAGCGTCTAATGACACGTCCTTATGTTCCCAGTATTCACGTATGTGGCCATTTTCCCATAGCTTCAGGCCTGCCTACCTAGACAGCCCTGCTTCTGTCTCTAGGATGCTCTCGCTCACTTGTTTCTGGGTTTCCTGACTCACTCTGCAGTGTGTCCATTGACATATGTCACTGGCCAAGGCCTGTCCTGTCCCTGAGGCTACATCCTTATCCCTCCCCAGATCACCAGCATCAGCACCAGGGTTGGATGTCTTGAGAATGTGGGTTCTGTCCTCTTCTTGTCACAGGTCAAACATGACCCAAGCCTTGCCCTGGTGAACTCCTTAGCTTTTTTTTGCCAACTTTCTAGTTGTTTTGTTTTAATATAATGAGCTCTAAACTAAGGTCTCAAATGATATTTCAGATACATTTTATATAGTTTTATACATTATCAGAAGTCTCTATATGATCTTCAGAGGGATTTTTTTTTCTGAGACAGGGTTTCTCTGTGTAGCCCTGTCTGTCTTGGAACTTGATTTGTAGACCAGGTTGGCCTTGAACTCACTGAAATCCGCCTGCTTCTGCTTCTCAAGTGCTGGGATTTAAGTGATGTGCACCACTGCCTGGCTTGGGATTTTTTTAAGTCTATGAATTTATAATGTTTGTGAAGAGTTCCAGAATTTGCCCCTTCAGAGTAATTTACTTGAGTTTTGATAAACTAAGAAGTTATCAAATGTAGGTATTATTATATTTTATTCTCTCAAGCTCTTACTCTCCATGCATTTGAATATTAAATCAATAGCTAGGTTTAGTGGTTCACGCCTATAATCTCAGCAATCTGGAGTCGGAAGCAGGAGGATTGTCATGAGTACAAGGCCAGCCCTGGCTGCAGAGACACTCCAGGGAGGCAGCTCAGTTGGTGGAGTGTTTGCTTTGAGCCCAGGAAGCCTCAGGTTGGGTTCCCTTCACCACATAACCTGAGTGTGGTGGCGCTCACCTGTGGTCCTGGCTCTCAGCAAGTGGAGGCAAGAAGATCAGGAGTTCAAGGCCATCCTGGGCTACATAGTGAGTTCAAGGCCAGCCCATAATATAGGAGGCCCTAGGTAACAAAAAAAAAAGGAAGAGGAGAAAAGGAGGGAAAGAGGGAGGGAGGAAAGGAGGAGGAAGGAGGAAGGGAGGGAGAGAGGGAGGAGGGAAGGAAGGAGGGAGGGAGGGATCCCAGGAACCCTAAGATACTGCAAACACCAGCGCACCTATTGTGACAGCAGCAGCTCATGCACAGTGCACACTGAGCAATTACTAAATTTCTTTCTCTGTATTTTCAATAACTTTGGCCCGTTTATTTCTAGGCATGACAGAGTCTTTCTTAGGAGATAATTCTAGACCTTCATTTATCCAGGATAAGGAGCTCAGTCACTTGATCCTCAAGGTAAGCAATGACACTTGGATTTGGATGAAGGAGAGGAGTGGGGGTTGAGTTCACCTCTGTTGTAGACATCAGAGAGCCCATGTCCTGTGTTTCCTCAGCTTAGGCATAGAAGATAAGGAGACAGCCTTAGGAACTAACACCTCATGAGCTTGAGAGACGGACACTTCCCAAAGAAAGAACAATGGACATCTCCACTGTAGACCCTAACCTGAGACACCCCGTCACACCTGAGACACCCCCTTCCCACCTGAGATACCCTCCTCACACCTGAGACACCTCCTCACACCTGAG